CCGAGACTATACTTCTGGGACGAATGGAGTATAATTTTTAATAAAAATAAATAAAAAATATAATTAGTATTTTTTATGATAATAAAAATAAATTAAAATCACAAAGATAATATTGGTTATGGTCATTCATCAAATTTATTTTTTTATGATATACTCCCTTCGTTCACAAACTGACGTCCTATTTTTTTATTTGAAATATTCAAGCATTATTGTTATTATTTTATTTTTATACACAAAATTTACTCTTTTATCCTTATTTTATTTACTTTTTTTATACCCAAAACTAAATACAAATTTATTATTTTATAACAAAAACTATAATTGCCTAAAAATGCATATAGATATCAAATAGAACATCAGAAAATTGAATGAGTGAGTAATTTTTAATGAGTATTTGCTTAATCTCCATAAAATACAAATATACATATAAATTAATATAACATATATATTTTCAACTCATAAAAACTCAATCACTAAATGTAAAATATTATTTTTTATATCACTAACACAATTTTTTACTACATACAAAAAATCAATTCATCTGAAACGTTGAGTGAGCAGACTGATTATATAATCAAGTTACTCGTTCTTTAAATAATTCTTCTTTAGTTCCATATTTTGTGTCCGAGTTGGTGTAGATACAAAATTTTAAAGAAAATATAATTAAGGCGCAGCAGTTGACTGGAGATCTAAGGGTAAAATAGTTAAGAAATATATTAATAAAATAAAAATTATATAATATAATATTCTTTTAGTCCGCTAAATTTATTCTCACTTTTCTTTTTAGTCCGCCCTCTAAATTTATCTCATTACTAATTTCGGAAAAGTCAACAATTTAACATTTAATTATTATCCTTCATTAAACACTTATTTATAACAAATACCACTAATTTTATTACATTTTCTCTATTTATTTTTTAATTAAATTTTCAAAAATAGCTCAAACTATCTATCACTTTTTCAATAAAATATTTATTTTTTTTAAACTCCGTGCGGAACCCAAATAGACTAACTTTAGTGGATGGAATGAGTAAATAATTATAAATTAATATTCCCTCCGTCCCAAAAGTAAATATTCATTTGCTTTTTGCACATAGGTTTAGAAATATTAGTATTATATTGAGACATAGTAGAAATAAAATAGAAATGACTAAATTAACCTTATTAGTATGTGTGATATGAAGGTAATGACATTTGCGTAATATATTGTAAGTTGTAAAGGTATTTGTCATGATAGGTAGATAGTACAGTTACTAAAAAAGGAAATGAATACTTTATTATAAAACGGACTAAAATAGAAAAATGAATACTTTGTTATGAGACGGAGGGGATATTAAAATTAACTAATTTAATTTAATTAAAATTTAAAATAAATTTAAAATATAATTAAAATAAATAATATTTTTCTTTAAATAATTTTTTTAACCTTTCCTAACAATGTAAAACAATATAAATAATAATTATCTCAACATTCTGTTATAATAAGAATAATAATTATCGCATCTTTCTATAGCAATGAATGTATTATTTTTATTGATTGTAACAATTTGTTAATTATTTAAAAATATTTTTTGTGCTTTTATGAGACAAAAAAAAACAAAATATTTTAGAGCAATAAAATCAATAATAATATAATCAAATTAATATTAATGTCAATACAAAATACATTAAATAAAAAATTAAAATAATATAAAATATTAATAACATTGAGTCGGTGAAATTATTTCATTATCGTTATCATAGTCATTATCTCTTACTTTTGTTGGCATCAACACTTTGAGCCTCACCTTTTTTTTTTTTTTTTTTTTTTTTTTTTTTTTCACTTTGAGCCTCACTTCTGTCCTATGATTGTTGAGATAATATGATTGGTTCGTTAGCAATGAGATTATTGAGATTTTGTAAAACATTTTTGTCAAATGAATTTTATCACCAAGAAAAAATAATATACTCCCTTTGTTTTACTAAAATGTTACTATTTTTCATTTTCGTCTATTCCAAAATAAGATTATTATTTTTTAATTTAGTAATTGTACTACCTACTTCACATAATAAATATCCTTTCAACTTACAATATATTACACAAATATCGTTACTTTTAATTTACACCATACTAATAGAGGTATTTTTGTCTTTTTTATTATAATTCAATATAATATTAATATTCAAAGATCTACGTGCAAAAAGCAAACGTCACCCTTATTACAGAACGGAGGAAATAATTAAGATTCAATTCTTGATCGAATGTTTACAATTTTTCTTTAATTTTTAAATGTTCTTTGATTGATTGGTTGAAATGGAATATTTATTTCTCTTGTTATAAATCAATTTTCAAAGCTATGGGTAAAAAAATACTCTTCCAATTCCCGAAGAATAGTCTCAGGGATCGACATGAAATTTAAAAAATAATGATATTATATTAAAAATGGGTATAAAATAAATAGAGAAAAAATTAAAATATCCTTGTAGGTGTATTTTTGTAAAAATAATAAAATTTGTGTGATAACGACGAAAAATATGAATGATTTTAAAGTGATATGATTATTTTTTAAAATAAGATTATTGATTTGAGACATACAAAAAAAAACAGTAGATTTTTTAATATTAGTATTATATTAAATTGTAGTAAAAAGGACAAAAATACTCCTATTAGTATGGTGTAATATAAAAGTATTGACATTTGTGTAATATATTGTAAGTTGAAAGGGTATTTATTATGTGAAGTAGGTAGTACAATTACTAAATTAGAAAATGGTAACCTTGTTTTGGAACGGACGAAAATAAAAAATGTTAACATTTCAATTGAACGGAGGGAGTATATGTTTAATCTAAAACCTCATTCAAAAGTATTTGAAGTGATCATGTTCGATTATCGGCAATTTTTGCATCTGTAGATTCTCAGTCGAATTGTTACTTGCATTTCCATGATATTGGAAATAGTGGTAGTTGGTTATCTTTATATAATATATTTCATCCGTCCCACGTAATTTGTCATCTTAATTTTAATCTAAAACTAATTAGTCATCTTAATTTTAATCTAAAACTATTTTTATTAAATCATAATTATTTTTACTAATACACTTTTTAATTACTCAGTAATTACATAATATCTAAAACTTTCTACCTAAACTAAATGAGATAATTTAGCTGAGACGAATGTAGTATAAAAATAATAAATGTGTGTAGTATATTAATTTTTTTAAAAAAATATATTAAAAATTTTTTGTTAAAGAAAAATAACCTAATTATTATTTTTATTTTTTTATGCATAAGGGGACAGTTATGACCATGATAACTACGGTGAAAGTAGGCACGGTATCAATGTCTAAGCCCACAGTAAACATACGATGAGATCAAACAAAAAATAAACACGACTTGAAAGTCCAGTCCGAGTATTTTACGTCGAGTTTAGGACTCCAAAAATAGATTTAAAATTTTTCGAGTTGTGCCTGGCCCGGCCCGGTTTTTAAAATAAAGACAAAAATTAAAACATAGTTTGATAGTAAAATTCTTAATTTGTATATATTTTACTATGAGTTCTTAAAACATGATTTGCAATCATACCGTGCTGGCCCAGCACGGTTTGGAATTGGGTCAGTCTGACCCGGTACAAAAAAAATCGGGCTGGTCCGAATTGTCACCCTTATTTTTATCGGACCCCTTGGATATAATTATAATTATAAGATGTGACTTATTTTTATTTTGAATTATTCGATTATAAAATAATTATTTTAAAAAAAATACTTTACTTTTTCTTTTTTTTTGAATATATATATTTTATCATCACATTATTATTTTTATATAAAAAATAAAGACACAATTATTTTTATTTTAAAAAATTTCACGGATTTCTTCGATAATTTTTTTAAAGTTAATTTCATCAAATTGTCACAAACATCCGTGACAAATTTTGATAAAGATATTTAACCCTTAAATTGTCACGAATGTCGGCAACAGTTCTTTTATAATTTAATTTCCAAAAATCATCACAAACATATGCTACAATTGTTTAAAAACATATTGATTGTTAATTATCAATTATTGCACATTCGAGACAACTAAAAAAATATTGCAAACTTAGGCAACACTCTTTTGATTATTTAATTTTAATAAAATGTCGTGGGTATTTGCAATAAATATTAATAAAAGTTATTCTTGTAGTGAAATTTTGCTAAAAAAAAAAATGTAATATTTTATTTATGATATAATTATTTGTTGCGAAAATCTGCGATAATAAAATTACAGATATTCTCTCTTTATTTACAGTATTATATCATGCCAATATAATACTGTCCGAGGCATTAACGTTGCATTTCATAATACTCCATTTCTTTTCAAAATAATGCTCTTATTTTGTCATTTTTGTCCGTGTCAAAACAAAAGTCATATTTTTCACAATAATTACAAAATTATCTCTAATTTTTACAATAATTATATAAAGTAAAAATATTTTGATTTTTTTAGAAACATTTTCCTTAATTTTCGTGCTCATCCTAAATATCTTTATTGTTTTGAAACTGATGAAATATATCTTTCTACAAGTTATATATATAATACATGGGTCAACCTTAACAAGCAAAACATATATAACAAAACTTGGTGATTTAAATTATTGCATGATCATTAAAAAAATAAAGAAATAAAAAATATCAATTTAATTAGCGAGACAAAATTATCGAACCAAATTAATATAAAATCTTTCCTAACAAGGAATTGAAAACAAAAACAGAAACCTATTTTAATTAATTAATACCCAAACACCCTGCAACATTTCTTTTCTGGTATGTCCAAACACCATGCAATATTTCCAAAATAGGAAATAATTAATTATACTTAATCTCCACCCCCACACTTTATCCTCTCACATCATCCAAATAAAAAAATAAAATATATATTTCTCTCAATCACATCACCTAATTTCTAAATTATCCTGCTTAATACTACCCACCTAAAAACTCGTGCCAAAAGCAAATGTTGCACCTTGTTTGAGACGGAGGGAGTACTCAGTTACCGAAGAAAAGATTATCTGAATATCCTATCAACGGATATCCTCGAACTACACCATCTGGTTTTACCATCAATTTACTCGTCTTTTCGATCAAACTATAGACTAAGACTTTACGATAACCAAAACTGAATATAAGCTCTCCATCATCGTCGGTAAACAACATACGGATCGACAGCCCATCGATCAAATCGTCATCGTCAAACTTATGATACATCGTCCACGGAACTGCCACGCCATCAAACTCCGACCATTCGCCGCTTCTTTTCTTCCACACAACACGGCACACGTCACTATTCATATCACCAATGAGCGCGCAAAATTGGCCATGCGAACAAGCGTAAAGACAATACGACGTTGCAGTGCTCGATCCTTGTCCTGTATTGTAAACACATTGATAGAACTTGTTGTCCCTCGGGTTGAATAAAACCAGCTTAATATCGTAGCTATTTGTTTCTTCTTGTTTTTCATACCCTTCTTGCAAACAAATATGACCGTCCAAGGAGAAGCTTCTAATGTCATCCGCGATTGTTATCTCCATAATCTTCGACTCGTTCCAACACCTTCTTTTGCTGTTAAACACCGAGTATTGTTTCATACTCACATTGGCGGCTACTATTTTATAGTCTTTCGATATTGGATCGAAACCAATGCCGCATGTGAAAACATAAGGATACGCAAAAAGGTTCCCCGAATTTGTACCGCGGGGATATGAAAAAGGGGTCCCCAAATTCGTATACTTTCTAGCAGATGGATTCCAAAGATGGATAGAGCGTTTTGCGCAAGACTTCCATAGAATGAGTATTAGGCCATCGCAGGATTCCACTCGACCGACGAAACTTCCCCGGCGTTCGAGGTCCACCGGCAACAGCTTTAATTCATTATTTTCCAATTTAGAGAGGGAGATTAATGCAGCATCAAAGGACCATAATGCAAGAAACATGTTCTTCTTGGACGATGAATGGATCTTGGAATGACGACGATGCGCAAGCATAAAGTCTCGGTTTGACACAGCTTCGGAGATGGTGTGATTCCATGACTTGGCGACAGATTTGAATCGATAGAGAGACTTGACGGGAAGTCGCATAAGGATGAGCTCGAAAACATCGGCACAAATTAATTCACTCGACATTGTTCGATCTACAATAATATTATTTATCTTCTTCGTCACCACCACTACTTCCACAGAAGATTCGATGCTACTGAATGTGTATATATGTATATATATAGAACCTGTAATAGTCAATCGAATATAAACAAATATATATAATGTCCCAAACTTGGATAAACATTGAATTTTGTTTATGATTGAATTAAATTGATTTTATGTAGATTCTGAATATCCAATCTCATCTAATCTTATCCTACATAATTAGTAATCTATGTGGTTATAGCCTTTGATGAATATTTTTACTATTTCTAAAACAAAAAAAAAAAAAATTCAAAAAATATTAAATTAAACATCAAATTTATATATGGAAAAATCAATTTTGATCCATTGAAAATCAAATAAATCAATTTTGGTCCATAAAAAAAAAAAAAAAAAAAAAAAAAAAAAAAAAAATCATCAAAACTTGTCCTAATAAAAAATCTTTTAATCAAATTTGAAACCTTAACTAAAAAATTCATTTAATTTAAAGTACCGGGGAGGAAGGTAACCCTAAACCCCACCGTTGATCACGACCAAGTTGCACCTAGCCGGAGCTCCGGCAACCTCGTCCGAAAATACAGTCATTAATTATATATCTGTAAATAGGAGTTATGAAAAGTAGAGATATGTAAAATTTGCGCATGCATATACGGCAAATAGGGACGGGCGTGACTTAAACTCAAAACCTAAGGCATATCGGATGCATAATGACCGTTTCACTTAAAAATTCAAATATCTACGCTAGTATATTTATTATTTAATGGAGTAGTATATTATCGATTTGTTTATTTTGTATTTTTAAATTTAAATACTCGTCCCACTCGGAACCACATTTACTTTCTTTTACCTTTAAATATTACTCATTTTGTTCACTGGTCACATGTATGTTTTGTCATTGTACTTAATAATGTTAAAAATATTCTTATATTTGTATAATTATTTTTTTTTACAAATGTCCTTCTATTAATATATAAAACACTAATTGAAGTAATTTTTTCAATTTTGTCTTAATTTGTATTACGTTTTAATATAATAATTAATATTCAAATATTAACACACAAAAAATATTAGGGACTTTTTTATTATATCAAAACGTAGGTATAAATCAATAAAGAATGGTAAAAAAAAAGTTATAATATATTATTGTGGGTTTGTTTATTTTGTATTTTAAATTTAAAATATTTTTGTGTATCTTATAATATTAATATAATGATATTTGTATAAAAAATTATACAAATATAAAAATATTTTTAATATTAAATACAATGATGCAAAATATAAATATAACTTTAAAAATGAAAGAATTTATTGATAATATAAAAAAATACTAAGTAATATTTTATATTTAATTGTTAGCACTGGCCCTATATATATAGTATGTTCATTTAAAAAACAAAAAAAAAAAAAGTTAAGTGGACAAATTTGATATTTATTTATTTTTTTTTTTATACCGATTTAAATATTTATTTTTATTTAAAAATTATACTTTCTAGTTTGATATGTTTTCATATGAGATATGAAAAATATATATATAACCTTTCTCAACAAGCAAAATATAGTATAACAAAACTTGGTGATTTAAATTATTGCATGGCCACTAAAAAATTCGTCAATTTAATTAGCTCGAATAAAATTAATTTGAAACAATATTTTCTGTCATGAAATCCTTTATCGAAACAAAATCATCAAATAAAATTAATATACCGTGTCTGCTACACTGTAGACACGGTATTGTCTGCTACACTGTAGATACGGTATTTTAAGAATGATGTAATAAGTAGATAATTAAGAATGTATTAGTGAAAATAATTATCCGATAATATAAATAATTATAAATTAAGATTAAGATAACTAATTAGTTTAATTAAAATTTAAAAAAAATAAAATTAAAAAGTTTAAAATGAGATTAAAGTGTGTAATCATTTTTCACAAAAAGGAAAGTGACATGGTACTTTGGGACGGGGACAGAAACAGTTACGCGGACATGGCATGTGGGAGAGGGAGTAATATTTTTCGTAACAAAAAATTCAAAATAAAAAAAAATAATAATAATAATAAAATTAAAAAAAAAATTAATTAATTAATTCAACTGCTGAAAAACAGATTATCTGAATATCCTATCAACCGATATCCACGAGCTACATCAACTGGATTTAACATCAATTTACTCGTCTTGTCAATCAAACTATAGACTAAGGCTCTACGATATTCAAAGATGAATATAAGCTCTCCATCATCGTCGGTAAAAAACATACGGATCGACAACACATCGATCAAATCGTCGAGCTTATGGTACATCATCCACGGAACTGCCACGTCATCAAACTCCGAGCATTCGCCGCTTCTTTTCTTCCACACAACACGGCACACGTCACTATTCATATCACCAATGAGCGCGCAAAATTGTCCATGCGAACAAGTATAAAGACAGTACGAAGTTTCAGTTCTCGAACCTTGCCCTGTATTGTAAACAGGTTTATAAAACTTGTCGTCCCTCGGGTCGAATAAAAATAGCTTAATGTCGTAGCTATTTGTTTCTTCTTGTATATTATACCATTTTTCCAAACAGATATGACCGTCCAACGAGAAGCTTCGAATGTCATCCCCGATTGTTACCTCCACATTTTTCAACTCGTTCCAACGCCGGCTTTTGTTGTTAAACACCGTGTATTGTTTCATGTCCACATCGGTGGCTACTATTTTATAGTCTTTTGATATTGGATCGAAACCAATGCCGCATGTGAAAACACGGTGATACGTAAAAAGGAACCTCAAATTTGAATGTCGAGGATCGGGATCTGGAAAAGGGCTCCCCAAATTCGTGAACGTTCTGGCCGATGGATTCCAGAGATAGATAGAGCGGCTTCGGCGAGACATCCAAAGAATGAGTATTAGGCCATCGCAGGATTCGACTCTCTTGATGAAGCTTCCCGAGCAATGGAGTTCCACCTGTAATGGCTTCAATTCGTTATTTTCCATTTTAGAGAGGCCGACCGTCGCGGTGCCGTAGGACCGTAACGCAAGAAACATGTTCTTCGTCGACAAATTGATCTTGGAATGATGGCGATGCGCGAAGAGAAAGTGTCGATTCGACGAGAAGACGGAGATGGTGTGATTCCATGACTTGGCCACGGATTTGAATCGGAAAAGAGACTTGACGGGAAGTCGCGCGAAGATGAGCTCGGCGACATCGGCCGAAATTAATTCACTCAATACACACGAACTTTGTAGTTGTTGTTCATCTACAATATCCATAGATTCAACGATACAATATATTTAACCAATTTAATAGTCAATCGAATGAATGATTTCATTCGATTGAAATATATATACAATATTTCGAATTTGGATAACCATTGAAATCTGTTTATGACTGAGTCAGATTTATTTGATGTACATTCGGAATATCCAATATAATCTCATCTCATCTCATCTATATCCCGCATAAGTAGCAACTAAATAATATTTTTGATTTCAGGTTTTATTTAAAAAATAATAACAATTTATTTGATTATAGTCTTTTTTTTTTTTTTTAACTGTTTACTATTTTTTTAAAAAAAATTCAAATAAATTAAATTAAACATCAATAATTGTTTTATATAAATTAACGATTTAACGAAGAATAACACAATAATAATGTATTTGATGATAATTGTAATACATATTTATTATGATAAAATATTTGTATTTTTAAAATATTATATTTATAATATAAAAACACATTTTTTAATAAATTGATAATAATTTGCTAATATATTTTAAATTATTATTTTTATTAAAATATTTTAATAATATTCTAATATTTATTACTCATACAATAATAATAATAATAATAATATATTTTTCAAGAATCCATCGACTAGTACAATACAAATTTTTTATAACATTGCATTAAAATTCAATAAAATTCATAAACTTTAAAAGTTCATGAATCATTGAATACCTATAGATTTCAGGTTTTAAAAGTCTGTCAAAATCTTATAAAATCTATTTTGAATACTCCCCCTTCATATAATGAATTTATTCAAAATTGAATTTAAATTAAATTAATATATAGAATAATTTATTAAATAAGAATTATTATATATATAATAAATATATTAACTAATATTAATATATTATAATCGGATTGTCGTCAGATACAAAGTAAAAACCTCAATCCCAATCTTACTCATTTATTATGGTATCGAATTCATGTCAGCCGATATACATAATCAAATTAAAATTCTCGATCCAAACCCAATTATTTTGTATTAAATTATTGTTTCAATTTTTTTCCAACACTAGGACTAATTCAAAATTAAACCCAAAAACAAAAGCAATAATAAATTTCAATATTATGTATATTGTGTCGAAAATGAAAATTTTTTAAAAGAATAATAATCATCATTGTCAAAAACAAAAAATAACTTCAGCCTAATTTTTCCAACACTAGGACTAATTCAACATAAAATATAAACTGCGGATCTAGTGCTTCAAATTTGATCGACTCAGCATATCATATACTTTTATATAATATATTTGACTCGATCAAATCAACACATATTCCGGCCCCAAAATCTATTTACAATCCTAACATGATAGATGAATCAAACACAAATATATATATATATATGTATACATACAATACCTATTAAAATTCACACCAAACATAAACACATTACCCATAATTTTAGAATGAAAAGAAAAAAGAGTACATCTAGAAACTAGAATGGCTCACAATAATATCACAAAATCCATACCAACATTACCTACAAACACAGTTCCCTTCCCTTCCCAACACAGATCACAGTCATGCATACAATAAAACACCAAGTCCCGAATCCGATCATCAACGACAATCCCAAAAATATATAAAATGTACGGATTAGGATACATTACCCCTGGCTGCCGGCCTTAAGCCGCTTAGAGCATCTCCTCGGACTGCTCTCGTCTTCGCCGCAAGCCACTCTGCGGCGTCGAGGAGTTTTGGCTTCAGGTGAGGATTGCTTTAAGTTGGTTTTCTCATTCTCTTTTCCCTCGGCAGCTTTTAGGGACTCTTTGTTTTCGTCAGCCTCTTCGACATTCTCGTCAGCATCATCATCTCCTTTTGCAGTGTCAATCTCGGCATCTGCATCCGCATCGTCGCAATTACTTTTTTCGTCAGCTTCTTCGCTCAATCCGTCTCCTTCACCATTTCCGTTCTCGGTGGCTTCTTCCTCGATCGTGTTTTCCTCTGCCATCTGTTTCTGAAGTGATTCGATCACGCCCATCAGCTCCCTGTTCACCTGTTTGAGTAATTACCGTAATGTTAAAACAATATTTTTTAGACTTTAAATAACAAATGAAACAATTTGACGAACCAAATAACTCACAAACCAAGCTCAACCTAACTTATTAACCGCTCGACTCTACTCATTTATACAACTAAACAAACAAAACCAAGCTCAAATTAAAAAATTGTTTTTCCTATAAATAAACATTTCAAGCTTGGCATACAAGCAGCTTAAATAAGCTTGTTAGTAATGATATATTAAATTTTTATAAGATAAATACATATACATATATATCATACATATAAAATTCAAATCAAACTCAAATTCGAGTTCAAGTTTGAGTCTAGCGATCCAAAGCTCAAACCATCATTTTAGCTCGAAATATTAACAAACCAAATTAAACATGTACAGATAGCATGTTTGCATCAAACTCGAACAATCTATACTCGAGCATGCTCAGCTCATTTAAAAGCTACCAAATGGGTATAGAATTAGGGACATTTTAACCACAAAATAAGAGACTACTGCTAGAATACGATGAAAGGAAAAAAAATACCTGAGGGTTTTGGAGGTAATCAGATATATCATTTTTGCAAGTCGGGCATCTCATTATATTTTTCTGAGTCCGGAGAGTTCTCGTCCCACCACAGGTCCTCTCTTTAACAAAGGACTGCCCCGCAAAAGCACCTTCCAAACAGCCCTTACAGAAGTTGTGGGCACAGGGGGTAGTGAGGGGGGACACCATCACATTTCGGCAAATAAGGCAACTAAACTCTGCAATTGTAATCAGCAGGCACAGTGAGGGACGTGAATTAATATATATATATATATATATTATGTGATTTACAAACTGGAATTTCAATAAAATCTATAAATGAATATACCTCTTAAAAGCCTTTCCTTCACAGATTTCTTATAGCCAGCTTTTGATCTCCTCTTTGTACCTGTTTCAGAAGCCTCACCATCACCGACTGATTTCCGGCTCTCAGGCGGAGGCTTCTTCCACGTCCAACAACCCTTTTCCTCCTACATTAAACCCAAAAAAAAGAAAGTATGAATAAATATCATATATCTCAAATTTACCATGTAATAAATACTATTTGCAAAAGTCGCAAATATTCTGCAAGATTCAGATCGGATGCTTGCATTGAACGCCTGCAAACATACATTTAAGGACAGTAATTAACAAAGCATACTAGATTCTCACATCGTATCCCCAGGAAGGATCGCCTTTTCTTTCCGTAATATCAGTCGCATGCTTCAACTCGGCAACTTTTGGAAGGGAGGATCTTGGCATATCTCCAAGTGTATCGCTGGTTTAGACAATCATAATGTTCTTCTATATGAAACTTGAGGAAAAAAATAAATAAAGTAAGTGCTATATAAAGTGAACATCACAAGATACCTCGTCCATGGAGCGGGATCATTATCGCATCGAACAAATAGATAGCGGCAAAGTTTGTGGCCCTGTTTTGATTGAACGCAAATTTAGTTAAGAGTATAGTTCAAGTAACAGGATAATGTCCCTTAAGACATATTTCCTACCTCTGATCCAGCCTTGCGCCAGCATTTCTCAATCCGGTAAATCCCATCATAGCGAACGCCTTCCTGGGGTGCATAAGAAGACCTTTTCTCCTTGTGCGACCTACACGAAAATTTGGTTCAGCATGACAAAAGCATCGGAAAATCTATGTTGGATAAACCAAAAGGAAATAGCAATCAGTTTCTCATTAATTTTACATACTCATCAATCTGAAATCAAACCATAGAAGCTTCAAAGTGTGTTTCAAAAGAAAGGCATATTAAGAAACTACAATTATACAAGCACATTCGATCTGGAAGATAATATTCCATTATAGATTATCATTTTTTTTAAAAATGTTTTGGAAAGTTTTTTTTCACACACCCTCTCCGGGATCGAACCCGGGTCACTAGCACCATTAAGAGGAATGCCAACCACTCGACCCAAAGGCAAGTCGGCGTTGAAAGTTTTCTTTTTTTAAAAAAAAAATAGGACTTTCCCTTGGAAGTCCTTCCAAAACTTCTTGACGGCCAGAGTCAAGCCCATGCCGAAGAGAGAGTTTGGAGATAGTTTTCAACAAGCAATAGACACGCCTTGATTAGAACCTCACTGGCTGCGTCACTGCCCCAACCACAAAGATAGTCGGCATTGATAGTTAGAATCAAAGAGTACGGCAGTTCATCTCCAACCAAGTAAAAATTAAGATCTAAGAAGCTAGATTTACTAAAACAGCAATCTCAACATTTCCATAGCCATAGCTAACACCATCTTTATTTCAAGGACCCTATTCAGTTTGTTGAAACCCTACAAGCTTTAATTATTGCCTTCAAGGTGTCAATTACTATTATCATTATTTTTTTTGTGATTAGACGACGGTCTTGTAAGCAAACCAAAGATCATGAAAAGGTTCCTTCTTTTTCATAGCTGAATCTAAAGTTGTTAGTGATCTTGAGGAAATATCAAGAGAATATTTATAGCAGACTATATAGTTCAATTATTCCAGAAAGAGAGATCATGTTACCGCACGACCCGGACTGGATATCCTTTTCTGCAGCTGCGTCGTAAGGCTTCATTAAATTTTTCAAAAGTTTGATCAAACGACTGCGACTTGTTTGTTCTTTTATTCCCACTGAGGTCTCGTCCACCACTGCAACAAATAAAAAAATTGATATTAAATTGAGCCAATGAACATACAAATCATTGAGGCAGGAAAAAGTGATATCACTAAAAATGATGGTATATATATCCATGTATAACATGCAATAACACACACATTAAATAATTTTTCAATATTTCATCCACAGGGAACAAAAAAAAATCGTTGAGCTATCACCATTGCATATACAAGAATACTCCAAAACAAGTATGAGTTTCCCAAGACAACAAAGGTTCATTAACAAAATTACCACCAAATTCAGTGCCGGTTGTAAAAAGCAATAACATATACAGAGCTGCGTATAATATGCATTTCTCTAGGTGAGCACACAAATGGCTGCTCACAGTAGTTTGCAAAAACTGTATACATGAGGGAACAAAGTGCCAAAACGAGCTAACTTACAGCATAAAGAGTAGTTATTAAGTACTATTAGCATTAGAGGAGAAAGATCCTATCAACAAGATTAACGGTGATGCAAATATTAAAGTAATTACCATAAATAAGCAAATGAAGTAAAAAATTAATGAATTGCTGCAATAAAATTACATTTAGGGCGCGAAATTCCATTATCTTAAAGACCAATAAATTAAATCACAAGATTTAGAGTTTGCACGTGATAATTAGATTGAAAGACAGGACAAAACTCGCACCGACCTAATTTATTATTGTTGAAAACCGACAAAATTCTTCATCTCCAACCAGACAGCATAATTTAGAAATTTTGGCAGATTATGATAAAGAGTATAACAATCAATATGAAAATAAATCAGATTTATACCTCCCAGTATAGAGGAACCAATCTCCATGGTCCTCATCGTCAACGTATCCACCAGAAAGTGCAACAGATTGTGCCCCACAATCCGCCTGCCCACAAATCCCAGCAACATGGGGAAAATGAGCACCCCACTGTCGGCACTCCATCCTATCCTCCCAAGTGTCGCCAACACAAACGCCCCTATTCCTTGTCGGGTCATTTTCAGCCGTTATTGGCCCGAAATGGTCAAGAGGTACTGTAACAAAAATCTTGCCACTACACGCATTCGCTTTTCCAGACTTTTTTGCCCGAGTTGTTGTGAACGCCTTATCCGGACGATCTTGATTGTGGATGACGTGATATACTTTTGGGGCACCACCTGAATGATTAGAATGGGAAAGTTTTGCCATTCTTATGGCCATGACAATAGCAGAGTTAATTCGCGGCTCCATCGCCATCTTGGGCGGAATCGACTTCCTACACATGGCACACGTCTTCTTTCCCTGAATTCCAACCCACTTCTGAAAGCACTTCAAACAGAAATTGTGGCCACATGGAGTCTGAAAACACAATAAATGAATTTCAGATGACAGTATAATAACTATAACTAGTTCGCATTAATAGATTTTATTATCCCGAAGGGAAGCATATCTACATTAATTGTAAACAGCAAAGCACATCAAGAAACAAAGTTCTAAACAGTCAATATTCCCCAAGCACCTCTCATATTTAGTTAATTAAACATATTATTAACAAACGGTAATATAAATGAAAAGTCAAAACGCTAACAAACTATAAAATGATTAGATGCTAACACATAGCCGATGTTATGATGTGCAATAAAAACTCAGCAGTGAAGGATAAAATATATATATATATATACATATAACATAGCAATCAATAACAAATCAGTACAATCTCAAAGAAAACAAAAAGCACTAGCAGCTTCAAATATAGATACAAAAATTTGTTGGTTAATTATAAAATCATAAAAACACATCAAACAAAAAGCATCCCTAATGTAAAGTGCCACTCAAATATACAAATTACAATCCTCATATGGTTCTTCATGAGAAGCCTTGCAGGTAGATATTCAGCCTGAGATGCAGCCCTACAGATCATCCCCACAAGGTCTCTATCAAACCTTTTAAGACCACAATATGCATCAATGGAGTCGATCTATCACAATGTATCCAAATAAACAGATCAAACAGGCAAAGCTTGATTTTCATTTTTTTTTTTTCAGAATCTTAATCAAATTAAGAAACAGAGAGATATCCCACATCATCAGCTGCAAGGTCAAACGATTTTCAAAAAAATCCCCAAAACCAGAATCGACAGCACAAAAATTCACAGAAACGAAAATCTCATGTGAAGGAAGCAGAGCAAGGCATACCGAGACCGGCCTATCCAAGAGCTGCATGCAAATGGAGCATTTAAACTGATCCCCCAAAATCCCCAAAACATCGCCGCCGCTCTTCCCCTCCTCATCCTCTATCCCACCGCCTCCCAAAAGCTCCTGACGCCGCACAGCCTTCTCCTGATCCGTCAACGACGAATCCGCCTCAATCGCACGGATCTTCTCCACCAGTCCCCCGCCAGAGACCGCCGATTTCACATCGGCGACCGTCGCAAGATCGGAACAATCAGGACAGTTCCAGTTGCGCGCGTCGCCTAGGGTTTCCAGCGGCGTGCTCAGGCACGACGCGTGCCACGGCGTGACGCACGTTTTGCAGGTGACAGTCTCCCCTTCCGCCGCCTTGCAGTTGCAGACCATACAGACGCCGTCGCCGTCGCATGGGAGGTCGCCGCCGTTGGCCATCGGAAAAGTACAAAAAAAAGGGGTGACGTTTGATGAGAGTGTACAGTTGTTGGGTTTGGGCGTCAGCGAGCGACGCTTCTGCGGTACGGTAGCGTTGGTGCGGTGCGGTGCGGTTTGGCCTTTAAATTTATTTTAATTGTAAAACCTGGGGGTTGTTTGGCGCGGACTCCAAATTCGGAATTAAATCGCAGAGGGAACTTTTTTGAAACTGAATTTTATTTTATTTATTTTTTTCAATTTATGTTTTTGCGCTCTTCGGGAACTGGAATTTGGAGAGACGTTTTCGGTCAGAATTTATTTTCCAAACGCGCCTTAATAAATCAACCTGCATTTAATAGGAAAAAAATTGGTGATACAGTAGGAGTATTTATTACGCAACCATATTAATAAAAGAATTCGGTTAATACTGTAACAAAATAACGTAATATTTCTATATATATTTTCTTTTTTTTTTATAATAATAGACATTTTTTAAATTATGTATTAATATGATATTTTAAATTTAAAATTAAATTGGAGTACTTTCTAGATCCTATAAAAATATATTTTTTTCGTCTTAATATAATAATATTATTTATTTTTGTCTGTTCAAAATAATAATTTTATTTTCATAAATAATTATATCACCATAAAATTATCCTTATATTTTATTATTATTACACAATTGTCAATATTTTTTACGCTAATATATTCACAAGGGCAAAAAAGTCATTTATCATTATTTTTTACCGACTATCAATATAATATCAATATTCCTTAAATCTCATGTCCAACACAGGACTGTACTGTTGGAATTGAGGAGTATCATTTTCTACTTTGGTTCATTCAAAACAATGATATCATTTCATAATTTAGTAGTTGTATTACGTAACCTAACATAATTAACTCTTACAATTTTTAATATATTACGCAAATATCTTTTTATATCACATAATTTAATATGAGTATTTTTATCTTTTTTTTTTATAAACCAATATAATAATAATAATAATAATATTTTTAAATTTACATGCAAAAAACAAATGTTATTCTTCTTCCATGACATGACGGAAGTAGTATTACTTTTGTTTTATAAGAAAAAGTATCATGTATTTTTTTTATTTTTTTTAGATTTTTAAATATTAACTATTATATCAATGTAGTATAAATCAATATAAAATGACTAAAATATTTTATATTAGTCTCTTTAAATATAAATACAATAATATTTAATGAATAAATTATATAAATATAAAAATAATTTTATTATTAAAATATAATGACATAAATGGTAAATAATATTGTTTTTATAGGAAGTAGTATAATAATATAATAAATAAATAATTATTTAATTTAATATTTAAAAAAAAATTAAAATAATAAATTCCAAAAAGTAAAGTTTGACAAATAAACACACCCTATAAAATTTCTATAAAAGCATTAACCTTATTTTTGAATTTTAAATTTTGAATAAATAATGCATTTACTTATTTTGAAATTAAGATAGAAAATGGTATGTATTGTTTCTATAGGGAACAAAATAAGTGTGTTGTTTTAATAAAATAAAAAAATGAAAATTGATATTAATTTTATAGAAATAAAAAATATATATAATTACATGATATAATATATTTTACCTACTAAAAAAAATCAATATAAAATATTCCGGTGACTCAATATTTTGGAACAATTTCTCATAAATTACTTTAAAAAAATATAAATACACACATTAATATAATATATATATTATCTACTCATAAAAAGTGATCATTCAATACAAAATATTATTTTTTATATTACCAATATAATTTTTTATAAAATTAAAAACGCAACGATATTATAGTAATATGTTGTGCTTTTATGTTTTGTATAGAATATTATGTTGAATAAAAATAACTAAATACTCCCTCCGTCCATAAACTAATATCTTATTTTTCTATTTGGGACGTCCAACAACTATTGTCCTATTTTATTTTTTAAATACAAATTTTACATTTTTACCCTTCATTCATTTATTACTTTTAATTTCTACCAGAGCAAATTCGTCAAATCATAACAAAAAGATAATCACTTAAAAAATCGTGCAAATATACTTTAGGACAATAGAAATTTGACGGGGAGTATATTATTGTGTGTTGTAAGCTGATATTTTATATACATATTGTAATATCATACTTTTGTGTTGAAATTAAGTAATATTGTGTTGTGAATAATATTATAAGTGTATATATTATATTTATATAATATTGGTATATTTTTCTATATTGTCAATATATATATATATTTTTTCGAGTAAAGTGAGTCTTTTAGTTAGGGATACAATATTTAAATATTCTAATTTAACATGTTAATTATAGTATTTTAATATTATTTTATTATTTTTTATATAAGTGATGAGGTTATTATTTTTAAATAAAAAATCATACATATAATTAAAATAAAATAAAAGAGGCATTGAAATACTTTAAATATTATATTTTTAATAAAATATACTCTCTCCGTCCCTTAATCATATATCAATTTTTTTATTTTGGTCCGTCCCAAAAGTATCAATTTTTTTTTTTAGTAATTCTACCAACTACCTAACATTACAAATATAATTTCAATTTACAATATATTACACAAATATTATTATCTTTATATGATACAATACTAATATGTTAATTTAGTCTTTTTACATTTATTTCTACTTTATCATAATATAATACTAATATTTCTAAAACTCCGTGTAAAAAACAAATTGATATATAGATATGGTACGAAGAAAGAATATAATATGAATATTATTATATAGAAAATATATTTTAATATAATATAAAAATATATGTACATTTATATATTATTAACATAAATTCATTTTATAAAACAATAAAAAAATGAAATATAGATAAAAATATTTATTTATTAATGAAATGTAGAAATAGATGAATTTTAAGTGATCATAGATTATGTATGATAGAGTATATATTATAGAGTTGATAATTTTAATTTATATTTGTTAAATATATTTTAAATAAATATAATTTACCAAAAATATAATTTTTTTAAAAAATTAGACATGACAAACTAAAATAAAAATCGTATCAATTGATTCAGGACATATGATATATTCATTTTTTTTTTATATTAAATGTCGTATTCAAATACCGCTTTATTTAATACGGTGGTATTAGAATCGACATTCTGTGTTCAAAATTGAGTGAATTTCATTTATATTCGATCTTATCCAAAAACCAATAAAAGGAAAGTAGAATAATATCTATCAAAACCTTTAGTTAACTAATCAAACGTCTTCAAGTTTCAGGTTTGATTGTTCGTTATTTCAAAACTCGTTAAATTTATAATTAGTTGATTGACACGCACACAACAATAAATTTTGCACTCGTGGGCGTTGAACATTATGCTGAAAAGTCGTATGGAGACAAATATTCGGATTTATTGATTTAACGGTTTTAGGTAAATGATTGTGATCTATTTTTATAGTCGACGCAGGTCAAGTTATATCAAATTGAGTTTCCATATTATCACTATGCATTCAACGTTAACTAAAAGTCTAATTCTTAATAATTTAACGAGTCGATTTTATAATCTGATTGGATTATATCGCGGTGATATTATAAAATTCAATTTTAAAATTTTTTTGATTGAATTTAAAGCTTTCTACACAATTTTTATTTTTTTAAAGAAAATTTGTGATATCATTTATCAATATCATTAAAAAAAAAAAAAACTCACATTTGTTAATTTTTACTATTTTTTGAATTTTTTGAAAAATTTTAAAAATCACTATCTAAATTAGAACCCAAGTCAATTTAGGTCTTGGAAATGGGCTGCTTAATAAATTTCTGGGCCATGTGGGTTGAGATTGGTCTTGTTCTGGGCTTTCTTTACCCTTTGAAGTGGAAATTTTATTAAGGTATGTTTGAATTTGAGATTTGTATGATTCAAAATGAATTGTTGGTTGTTTATTTGTTTGGAATTTTTATTTTTTTTTCAAAAAAAAAAAAAGTTGCTTTATTAGCAAATTTTTTCTAGACACTATTTACAATACCATAGGTGTGTTTGTTTGGGAGATTGAATTTTAAATTCACTATTTATTCTTTTTTTTTTCTTTAAAAATATCAAATCAGACATCTATTTTTTATTTTTTATATTATACTAAAAATTAATTTTACATTCAAAACATCACATCAACACCTATTTATATCACATCATATGACTAGTTTAATTCAAAATTTTTACTATTTAAATCCCAACTCAAAATCCAAACTCCTGAACAAACACACCTATATATTTCCTTTATTCCATAACAAATGATATATTTGATTAAATACATAATATTTAAGGTGATATTGGTTGGTTAGTTAATAATAATAAATTATGGTATTATTTTATTAATTTTTTTTTATGTAAGATATATAAGAAATTTGTAATATTTATTAAATATTTTAAAATATCTCAATATATTGTAATATGAATAACATTTTGTAAATAATCTAATTTTATATTATACAAACAAATTAATATATTTATTTATTTGTGATTAATAAAAGAAAATTTAGATGTAGATAAAATATTTATTTATTAAAGAGAAATATAAATAAAGAGATTTTAAATGAATCGTACATAATACTCCCTCCGTCTCATATTTATATATCAATTTGCTTTTTGCATGAAGTTTTAGAAATATTAATATTATATTGAGATAAAGTAGATTTAAAAATAAAAAGACTAAATTAACCCAATTAATATTGCATGATATAAAGGTAATGATATTTGTATAATATATTGTAAATCGGAATGGTAGTTATAACGTTAGGTAAATAGTACAATTATTAAAAAAAAATAATACTTTGTTATGAAACGGATCAAAATAAAAAAATAGATAGATTGTTAAGGGACGGACGAAGTATATGATATTATATGTTAAAATTAATTAAATTGATTTATAGTATTTGTTATGTTTCTTATCGGTATATTTTACCAAACAAAAATGAAATGGTGCAATTAATTTGTTACGAGACGTTTTATCATCTTAAAAAAATTACTAATATTTATTTACTCCACAATTCTATATATATATAACAAACAAGCAAACCCTATTTTTTATAAAGGAGATCTAGCCATGTTACATTATTTCTACTTTCAGCATAATGCTTATATTATATTGATAATGTTGTCCTATATTTTAGTATTTTATTTGTTACCTAACATACATATTTTATGCAAATGTCGGAATAAATGTCTCATATCATTACATAAGAAAATGAGCCAACTAAACTTCTTTTTTTGGGAATGTTTTTTAGTCCTTCTTACCTAAATGTTACACAATTTTCATTTTAATCCTTACTACATAATTTATTATTTATTTTTATTTTATTAAAAAAAATAATTATATACTTTCAATTATATTTTAAATTTCATAATTTATCATTTATATTTTTTAATTATTTATTCATTATATTTTAGTTAAATATCCAAAATATCTGAAACGTTAACTAATGAAAACCTTTGACAATGTTATCTTAGCCTCTTAACACTAACTATCGTAAAGTCCCTATTAATAGGTAATAATCTCGTGATACAGTATGACGGTAATATTTTCAGTATGAACCAACTGAAGGTGTCAAACCCTACGTTCGATCGAGAAAGCGTCGACGGGATATCTCGATTCTCAATTCGAAAATTCTTCCCAACACTAAACATGAGATGAACCAAGATTTCAACCTCACGAGTATAAAATCATCTACTTTCGAACAATTAGAGGATCAAGGCAAGAAAATCATCAACACAAAGACAAACCCAAAATCAGATAAAAGAAAACACCACAAGAAGTCGATAACAACGGCAGCAGAAATCGAAATCGAATCGACAAAACAAAACGAGCATACACCAAGAAACCAAAAAACCAAAAAAGTCTGTAATCGCAAGACTCGAAAACTACAATCTACCCGAAACTAACAGATTACGCTGCATAAAAAAAAAAAAAAAAAAAAAACGTACCTCCGACGACCTTTTATCATAGTTATTAAGCAGAAAGCACTCGCCGCTTGTATCGAACCATCACTTTCCCCTTCACCCCGACGACCATCGCGTTCCAGTCGATTTCCGGGAACGGCGAGATCAGCTCCATCTCGAAGTTCCTCAGCAAATGGCTCCAAATAGCTTTAATCTGCAGATACGCGAAGGGTTCGCCGAGACAGCCGTGACGTCCGCCTCCGAAAGATATGTAAGAAAACGCGCCGGCCGCTTTGTCCTCGTCCCTCCCGGGGGCGAACCTGTCGGGATCGTAAACGTCTGGGTCTTTGTAAATGTGCGGGAGCCGGTTCGCAAAGGCGGGGGACGCCGCGACGATGTGTCCCTTCGGAATGTCATATTCTTTTCCTTCCCGGGTCTTGACGGAGAAGTCGCTGTGGGAGCTTCGGAGCAGCATTATCAATGGCGGGTGGAGTCGAAGGGCTTCTTTTATGCAGCGGTAAAGGACTTCCATTTCTGACAGAGTGTCGTAGTCGAGTTTGTTCCCGTGCTTTCCGAGCAGGTTCTTTTGCTCGTCGACAACGGCCGACATGTACCTTGGGTTGCAGAGGAGGTACGAACCGGTCCACGTCGAGGTAATTGAGCTCGTGTGCTGGCCGGCGAAGAGGGCGGCGATTAGGAGGCCAGTGATCTCGCTTTCCGTCGTCGAACGCCCGTCTTTGTACTTGGAATCGATGAAGCACTGGAGCAGGTCGTTCTGCGACTTGCCAGTTTGTTTCCGGGAGGCGATGATTCTCTCGAAAATCTCGGCGAGTTTCTTGCGGGCTTGGTCGCGGCGGCGGTGGGCGGGGATTGGGAGATACGGAAATACGACGCTGATCGGGAGCATTCCATTGTCGAGGTCGTGGAAGAGAGCGGAGACGTCGTCAAATAGCTTGTTGCGAACTTCTTCGCCTAGCAAACATCGGCTTGCCGTCAGGATGATTAGATGTTCGAGCTCGTATTTTAGGTCGACTTCGCCGCTATCTCCCCATTTCGAGAAATATTCCTGCCGACAATTTGAAAAGGCAACAAAAGCGTTGTCATTTTCGATTCAATTGTAAGATGAAATTAACACAAGACACGCAATTTCACTGGAAAAATTTGCAAAAATATCTTCATATATACCTTATTATCACTTTGTCTTGTATTTATCTCGCTGGCAAAATATATCTCACATGTTTATAAAAATCGCTATTTATATCCTTTGGCCGCGCATGGCGTGAACGTCACGCGCGGCTAAAGGACATAAAGAACAAGTTTTTGCAAACATGTAGGATATATTTATTGCAAGCGAGATAAATACATGACAAAAGTGATAATAGAGTATACATGAGGAATATTTTTTGCAATTTTCTCGATTTCATTGCATTACATTCTCCTAGAACAAGCCCATTGCATCGAAACATGTAAGGTTTACTCTACACTTGCAATTGTATGGCGAAATAGGAAGTTTTGGAAACATCGAGTAAACAAGGATTATCGGCACGATGTAGCTATAAATGCATTGTTACAGAATACTTTTTTCTAACCATAGTAAAAACTATCGACAGCCTTTTTCTCTTGTCGCCATTCTAGAAGTTCAATTTAGCACCCGAAATCCGATAGATGTAAATGGAAATCAAGAACCTAGTTCAAAGCTGCACAAATAATGGCTAAACCCGGAAGAAGAAGCAACAGATTCATATGCATTTGAATATCACACGGCGTAAACCAACCGAATTCGAACAATTATCCAGTATCATTTACAAACTCAACTCATCATGCTATCATCAACAGCAAATCCATGAACTAAACCTAATTTCCCCCAAAAATCAACAAAACACAATGGTAGTATCAACTATGGCACAAGATTGTATCACTATCAGATGCATCAAAACTGTAAAAATGTCTTCGATTCAACCTCAATAGCTGTGCATCTAAACAATCAAAATGGACAGGATCGAAAAATGAAGATACAGAAGGGGAGAATACCTCAGCTTCCGTAACCATCTGATCGACATAACCTTTGAGCTTATTAACCCTGAGTGCCTCGGTGAAGAATCTGAACTGCTCCTGCCTAATACTGTAATCGACATCGAACACCACACCAGGTCCAAACGTAGGCACATTGAACTGGTACACCTCCTGCTGGCTGAGATCGGATTCCGGAGCCTTGAAGAAATGAGCAGAAACCTCAGGACCAATCAGGAACGTGATGCTCTTGTTCAGAAATTTCAGAGTGAACACACCCCCAAGCTTAGGGTACTCCTCCCGCAGCATCACCACCGGTCCTTTCATGAAACGGATCAAACCGCCGAGAACCGGCCACGCGCTCACCACCGGCGGCAGCCGCTTTCTGGATCTAGGCATTATCAACGCCGAGATCAGCTTCGCCGCCACCAGAGTCGCCACCAGCAGAAGCCCTACATTCAGGATTTTGGATTCCGATTTCGCCGAGTACTCCGCCGCCTCCATTGTCGCCGGACAATTTCAAGTTCTGCAACGCCACAATAAATTGGGAGAATTCAGACTACAAAAATTAGAAATAATAATAACGAAAAATCTCAGATCCAAACCGCCATTAACGAAAACAAAAACCATTAACCCTCCCACCAATCAATTAACACACAATCTAAAAAATATAAGTATCAGTGCGGATGAGCATACCAATTAATTGAGCAGGGGAATAAGCATCAGGGGGAGTGGGATTGATTAGGAGGAGATTTCCGTATCCATAATATATATAAAGATGGATCGAAAGGGAAAGGTATCGAATGGAATCGAAGATGGAAGGGGTGAGCTGTAGGAGTGTGGAGTTTTGTGTGGGGGTTAAACAGTGGGCCGAAGTCCCAATGGCTGGTTTTGGATGTATTGTGGAGTTAATTTTAATTTAATAATTTTGTTCACCATTAAAGTTAGCACAATTTGATTTTGGCTGTTAATAAATATTTTGTCCGTTCAACTATGATGTATATATTTCTTCAGTTCTGTATATTTTTTCCGTTCACTTATATTTATTTTTTTATGTAGATTTTTTAATATTAATATTATATTGAATTATAGTATAAAAAAGACAAAAATATTCCTATTAGTATGGTATAATACAAAAGTAATAATATTTGTGTAATATATTGTAAATTGAAAGGTATTTATTATGTTAAGTAGGTAGTACAATTACTAAATTAAGAAATAGTAACCTTGTTTTGGGGACGGACGAAAATAGAAAATGATAACCTTTCGATAGGACGGGGAGAGTATTTATTTTTGGCTTCGTATTTAATAAATAATAGTATTTTAATTATAGTGGACAGTTAAAAATAGTGTAACGATATTTTTGCATTTGTTTTTTTTTTTTTATGTAAAAGTAATAATGTGATGTAAAGTTGGCGTGTTTGTTTGGGAGTTTGGATTTTGAGTTGAGATTTGAATAGTAAAAATTTTGAATTTGAATATTTGTATGATGTGATATAAATAGGTGTTGATGTGATGTTTTGAATATAAAATTGACTTTTACTATAATATAAAAAATAAAAAATAAGTGTTTAATTTAATGTTTTTGGGGAAAAATGGGATGAATAGTGTATTTAAAATCCAATCCCCAAACAAATACACCCTAAGTGTATTTGTGAAAAAAATGAATATTTAATGAAATATTTACTTTGTAATTCGATGTTCCAAAATATAAATATGCTGAGCAGAAGGAGTATTTTATTAAAAAAGTAATAGATATTTGTAATATGTTTTAAATATTAAATTAGAAAGTAAAGTAAATAAATAGATAATATAATAAAATTAATCATATTTGTTTTAAATAAATATTAATGACAATAATAATTCAATGTTAATTTGTTAACCTAGACAAAATTAATAATGAGATAAATTTAATGAATAAACTAAAAACAAAAGTGCAAAATAATTTTGAGATAATATTTTATTAAAAATATACAAATTTTGATAATTACATAGTAAAATATTAAAAATAAATGTTTTATAATAAAAATGTATACAAATTATTATTATTATTATTATTATTATTATATCTCTATTTTTGGCAGAATATTTTACTGATTTTATTTTAAATTAGAATTATTGTTGTTTAGTAATTATAATTTTTAATAAAAATATATATATTTTGTTTTAAATACAGTGTAATATTTGATTTTGACATAAAAATTTAAATGAAAAGTAAGTAAAATAATTTAGAAATTAAATTATATAATTAAAAAAAATGCATATTTATTTTTTATTTAAATATAATATTATTGATATATGATAAATTTTAATAAAAAATTATTTATTTAATATTTTAGTTTAAAATATTTTTGTGTGTGTAAATAGTGAAAACTTAGATGGTAATATTTAAAATAACTAAATATAAACATTATATATATATATTTTAAAAAGAAAATTGTCAGAATAAACCCTAAATGTATAATAGTGAAATGGAGTATATACTTATTAAAAAATAAATATTTTTTATGCTTGAATTTATAAATAATAAAATTGATAAACATTATATATATATATATTTAAAAAAAAAATTGTGAGAATAAACCCTAAATGTATAATAGTGAAATGGAGTATATACTTATTAAAAAAATAAATATTTTTTATACTTGAATTTTATAAAAATAAAATTGATATATCGAGCAAATTAAAGAAATATTATGGATATTGAAATTTAATTTTAATTTTAATTTTAATAATATGTAAATATAATATTTTATAAAAATATAATTAATATTTTATTGAAAATCATCCGAACAAATAATGTAAAAAATATTTTTAAAAAAAGTCTTATTATTTTAATTAATCTAATCACGTGACATGCACTCACGTCACCTCTGTTCCTAGCATTATTTTATTTTTATTAATTTTAAATAAACATTATTATCAAATAATTTTATATTTATTCAAAGGCTAAGACGCAAGCTGCCTAACTACTTAAAAATAAAAATATTTTTCATTTACAACACAAGAAAAATTAAAATTAAATGACAAATATGATTTTTTTTTTCATCAAAATTATATTATTATTTTTTTTTATATTGTTAAATTAATAAATAAATAATTTTATTTATCCATAATTTTTTTTTATTTTAATATATAATAATTAATTTATTATTATTATGTCTGATTACTCTTATCACTTATTTATAAAATATTTAATAAATTTATACATAACCATATTGTACTTTTTACACAATTTTACAGGACATTAAAGTGTGTTTGTTTGGAGGTTTGATTTTGAATTGAGATTTGAATAGTAAAAATTTTGAACGTCAATGGTTGTATGATGTGATATTTTGAATGTAAAATTAAATTTTAGTATAATATAAAAAATAAAAAATAAATGTTTGATTTGATGTTTTTTGGAGAAAAAATAGAATAAATAATATATTTAAAATTCAATCCCCAAATGAATATTTAGTTATGGGACGAAGGAAGTAATATTTTTTGTATAAAGATTTTTTTGGCTTATGTTTCAATTTGATGTGGTCAAATTACTAACTTATATATATATATATATAAACTTATGGTTGTGTTCTTTTAGCAAAAAAAAATAAAATATAAACACATATTTTTAAAAAAATTAATATATCACATACGTTTATTATTTTAAGTGAATGATGATAGTACTATTATTATTATTATTTTATCGGTCCATCATATTTAGTTAATTTGGCCTCGACATGAAAATTTTTAAAAGATATATTTTATTAAAAAAATTAGAAAATATAAAAACATAATTGGATTTATTTTTGAAAATTTAGTTATTAGGAGTAATTAAAAAGAATGAATAGTGAATGTAATAAAATTGATGATATTTGCGGTAAATAAATATTGAATGAAGTGTAATAAGTAAATAATTTTTTCAATTATATTAATAAAATAAATTTAACAAGCGGACAAAAATGAAAATTAAGAATAAATTTAAATGACAGTAATAAGTACTATTTTTGTGTATAATTGAATTGTAAGAAGATTCATGTGTTTTAAATTCATAAACAAAACATAATTTTTCAGAAATGAACAAATGAGAATATTAAGAAAGAGAATTGGAAAAGTATAATATTTTTGACATTTATTTTCATATTTTATTTTATTACCTCCGTTCACAAATTAATGTCCTACTTTCCTATTTGGGACGTCCAATAACTATTGTCCTATTTTCTTTTTTAAACACAAATTTTATATTTTTACTCTTTATTTATTTACTTTTAATCTCTACCATACAATTAAGGGCAAATTTGTCAATTCATAACAAAAAGACAATCACCTAAAAAATCGTACAAATATACTTAGACAATAGAGATTGGACGGAGAGAATATAATTTTAATAATTTAGGTGGTAACGGATAAGATATTAATTTAATTTATGTTATATAATATTTTAATATTGACAATATATATTTATTGTAATATACTCCCTCTGTCCACGGGAATTGAATCATTTGATTAGAAACACAGTATTTAAGGTGAGAATATTTAATTAGTTAATAATAATTAGTTATGATATTATTTTTTTTGTATAAATAATAATATTTATAGTTTTAAAGAAAATTAAATATATATGATTAAGAAAATTAAAATGTATGTTTAAATATTTAAAAATTATATAGAAATTAAAAAATATATGCAATATGGATATCTTTTGTAGAGAATAATATCTTCTATGATACAAGTAAATAAAAAAATATTTTTGTTTATTTATAATTAACATAAATCAATTTTATAAAAGATGTGTAGTTTTAAATATAAATAAAAATATTTATTTTTTTTGAAGAGAGATATAAAAATAAAGGGGTTTTAAGTGAGTCCTACGTCATTTATAATAAATGTTGTATGTCATGTAGTTAATTAAGTTGATTTATATTTGTTAAATATATTTTAATTTAATAATTTTTACCAAAAATAAAAATATATCAATTGTTATGGAAGAGACAAAAATAAAAATAATGTCAATTATGATAGGACGAAGGGAACATATATGTATATATATATATATTTAATTTATAACTTATAAAATAATACAATATATAAAGATTAAATGCTATTTTAATTTGTTTTGTAGATATCCAATCCCAAGCCCCTACCCTCCCTTTAATTTCATTTGCTAATAACAGTAAATAATTAATAAATGTTAAGTAGTCTATAGGGTTTGGTTAACACTAAGGGTGTGTTTGTTTGGGGTTTGAATTTTGAATTGAGATTTGAATAATAAAAATTTTGAATTTGAATAATTGTATTATGTGATATAAATAGGTGTTGATGTAATGTTTTGAATGTAAAATTGATTTTAGTATAATATAAAAAATGAAAAATAGATATTTGATTTGATTTTTTTTGAAATAAAAATAGGATGAATAGTGGATTGGAAAATCAATCCCTGAACAAACACACCCTAAATGTATAGAGTTTAGGGTTTGAAGTTCAGGTTGGAATGGATCAGATTCATCTGTATAAGTGGATAGACTTTTTTTTTTTAAAAAAAAATATTATAAATTATTGAAAAATATGAAAATTTATTAAAATATTTGTTTTTGTTATTTTCAAAATATTTGTAAAAAAAATATTTTTATTAAAAAAATATATTCCTTTTTCATTACAATTATAATTTTAAATAAATATATTCATAATATATATATACATGGAAGTAAAAATTTTAATACTCCGTAAGGCAGTAAATGAATAAATTAGCTAAGTTGGGCCATTTGTTTGTGTGAGGCTTCAATTAATATCATGGCCCAGCCTAGTCTGGCCCAGCCCTTTCAATATGGACCGGTCCGAGCCTCACACAAAACAAACAAATTTTATATCTTAATTAAAATATTTATTAATACATATAAAAACAATAAAGAAAAACATTTGATTTTGTTTAATCCTCTCCTTTTCCCTCAGTCTCATAATTAGGTATCCATTTGTTTTTTTAAGTAATTTTAAAAATATTACTACTATATTGAGACGTAGTAGAAATAAAGTAGAAATGACTAAAATAACCTTATTAGTATGGTGTGATATAAAAGTAATGACATTTGTGTAATATATGGTAAGTTGTAAGAGTATTTGTAATGTTAGGTAGATAGTACAGTTACTAAAAAAAGAAGTGAATACTTTGTTATGGTACAAACTAAAATGAAAAAATAGATACTTTGTTATGGGATGGAAAGAGTATACTTTTGAATTTTTTTGACACAAGTTCTTTTCTTTTAACATATAATACTCCCTCCGTCCCAAAAGAAGAGTCTTATTGAGAGTTGACACTAGAATTAAGGAATAATAGTATTTAATTGAAAGCAGGTATAAAGTAGAATGTAAATGACTAAAATGCCCTTGTTTTTTTTAGGATTTTAAAGAGTATATTAGAGTAATAATTATGGGTAATATGGAAAAGTATGAATAATTTTGTTATAAAGTGGGGACTACGGCTACTAAATAAGAAAACAAAATAATTGTTTTGGGACGGATAAATCTTTTGGGACGGAGAGACTATTAAATTTTTTATTTTTTATTACAAAATATTACGTCAAATACTACTAATTTATTTTTAGTATCCCTAATTTATTTTTTAAAAATTCAAAATTATAAAAAAAAATATCTATCTAAAGAGAGCCTAGTTGATTTTCACATATATTTATTTTGAAGTTTTTTAATTTTTTTAATTTTGTAATAATACGTTTTGCCTATCTCATTAACTAATAATATAAATCCAAATTGTGTTTGTTTCCTAGGTTTGACTTTTGTGCAGAATTAATTGTTTAATATAGTATATATATATATATTTTAAAAATATACAATTAATTTTTTATAATATAAAAAGTAAAATATATATTATTCAATTTTCTGTTTTTAATATATAAATACTAAAACCACGAGTAAAAATCTACAAAGAAATTGAGCTGCACAAAGGTGGTTTTGGCCCGTGGGTTTTGGATTCAAATAAAATTTTAATTTTATATAATTATTTAATTTGATATAAATATAATTGATGTGATATTTTTAATGTATAATTAAATTAAATTATAATATAATATAATAAATACTTCTTATGTCTCCACTCAAATATTTTTTTTTACCATTTTCGTCTGATTTTTTATTTGGGTAAAAGTAAATATTTTTAATTTTTACTTAAATTATAAACATACAATTACTACATCTGTTATGCACTTTTACTAATTAATAAGATATTACTCTCTCCGTCCCATATAGCATGTTCACGTTGTCGTTTCTGTCCGTCTACGTTCTATGTCACTTTCTTTTTTTTTCTAAAATGATTATACATTTTAATCTTATTTTTATACTTTTATTTTTTATTTTTAATTTTAATTAAACTAATTATTTATCTTAATCTTAATATATAATTATTTATATTATAGAATAATTATTTTCATTATACATTCTTAATTATCTACTAATTACATTCTTCCTAAAATACCGTGTGTGTAACAGACACGGTATTGGGGACAGAGGGTACAAAAGCTATGGGACGAAGAGAGTAAAAAATATATAATTTAATTTAAAATATTTTTGGAGAACTTTTATTTGGAATACTTAAAAACAAGAATAAAAAAAAAAAAACTCACAAGCAATTTAAAGGCAGAGTTAATGGAATGGGCCAAACCTCGAAATTTTCTTCTAGTGATCCAAAAATGGCGGATCAGATTGGATGAATGGGGTGGGCTTTGAAGCTTCTGCTACCCAACCACTTTCTCCTCAGCTGTTCTGCTCTGCTCATCACTGCTGCCGCCATTAATGCACCTTGTTATTTGTTTTCTTCTTCTTCTTCCTTATTATTAACCTGTTCAGTATTTAATGCAGTCTTCCTTCCTCCACATGGATGTTAGTTGGATCCATCAGAAATATTTATTGCTCCTTCCCTCTCTCAATCAGAAAGCAATTAAAATTCCTTTGACAAACAACTTGTTATTGTTGAGCATTTTCGGTTGAAGATTATTATTATTGTATGCAGGAATTACTGGTTACCTTGTCGTACTGCAGTTGCTGTGGACGATTTTGTGAACTGTTGATGGATTAGCTAGCTTAGCTATTTAATCAATCATGGCGGAGGTTGGTTGTTGGTGTTGAAACTTTTGAGAGATTCTCTCTGAATATTGATTGGGAACTGGAAGCTCAACCATCATTGCTGCTGCGCCATTAATGGCGTCTGATTCCTGCAATTATGATTTTCCAACAGTATTTCGCATCAATTTAATCATGAATGTGATGTTGATGTACCGAGTTTAGTGGCTAGATTAATTTCTGTATATATAGATATATATGTTTGTGTTTGATTCTAATCTGGAAGTGAAGTGAAGAAATAGCAGAGGTTATGGTTATGGAAGGTAGGGAGATCAAATCACCTGAAGTTCTGCCGGAGACGCCTCTCGGCGTCGGAGATTGTCACCGGAGGAAGAGGCTGGGGATGTACTTTCTCGAGTCCGACGACCGGAGGACGGCGCTCGGCGGAGGATACACCGGCGGTGGATCGACGCCGGTGAACATCCATGGAAAGCCTCTCTCGGAGCTCCAAATTAACAAAACCGGCGGCTGGATTGCTGCATTCTTCATCTTCGGTATACATAAGCATATACAGATACACATATATATATATATATATAGATCGGTGATCTATAGGTTTAGTTGAAGGTTTATTGATCAATTTGAGGATTGGGGGAAACTGAAACCCTACTTTCGAATCTCGATTCGAAAATTTATATTTACAGGTAATGAAATGGCGGAGAGAATGGCTTACTTCGGTTTGTCGGTGAACATGGTGGCGTTCATGTTCTACGTGATGCACCGGCCGTTCGAGAGCTCGGCGAACGCCGTCAACAACTTCCTCGGAATCTCTCAGGCTTCGTCGGTGCTCGGCGGCTTCCTCGCCGACGCCTATCTCGGAAGGTACTGGACGATCGCCATTTTCACAACAATCTACCTTCTGGTAAGCAAATCAGCTCTGCAAATCATCTTCAAAATCACACCGATTTAATTTTAACCTAATTTGGTGAAACCTACCATTGGTGTTCGGTATCAATCAATCGATCGATCGATTCCGGAGGGGCTAGCAGGGATAACTCTGTGCGCAACAATGGCGGTTCTGACGCCGAGCCAGGAAAACTGCGACCAAATCGCGCTTCTATTAGGCAACTGCACGGCGGCGGAGCCATGGCAGATGCTGTACCTCTACGCGGCGCTGTACGTCACCGGATTCGGCGCCGCCGGAATCCGCCCCTGCGTGTCGTCGTTCGGCGCGGATCAATTCGACGAGAGGAGCGAGGATTACAAGGAGCATTTAGACAGGTTCTTCAATTTCTTCTACCTGTCGGTGACGGTGGGGGCGATTGTGGCGTTCACGGCGGTGGTATATATACAGATGAGTCACGGTTGGGGGTCGGCGTTCGGGTCGCTGGCGATCGCCATGGGAATGTCGAATTTGGTGTTCTTCGTGGGGACGCCTTTGTATAGGCACAAGCTGCCCGGGGGCAGCCCGCTGACGCGGGTGGCGCAGGTGGTGGTGGCGGCGTTTAGGAAGAGGAAGGCGGCGTTCGAGAGCAGTGAGATTGTTGGATTGTATGAGGTTCCCGGGAAGAAATCCGCCATTAAAGGCAGCAGCAAGATTGCTCATACTGAGGATTTCAGGTACACATCTGGTTTTTTTTTTTTTTTTTTTTTTTTTTTCATGCATTTTTGGCCGGGTTTTTGTTTGGAGGATTTTGGGACTTTTTTAGGGTGTGTTATTGCAATAATTTTATTTGTTTATCTATTTTTATTAACATATTTTTTATTAATATTATAAAATATATATATATATTTTTAATTCTTTTTATTTCTACTTATTCCACATAATTTATCTTTTTTTTAATTAAAAATATAATTATATATTTTAATTATATTTTAAAATTTATGATTTATATTTTTTTTTTATTTTGATTAAACTATTTAGTAGTCTTAATTTTAATTTTAATATGTATATTTTTATTATATTATAATTATTTTTATTAATATATTTTTTAATTAATTAGTAATTACATAAAATATAAAATTTAGTGTCCAACTAAACTAGACAAATTAGTTAGGATAGAGAGTAATAAAAAAGTATTCCATTTGTCAGGTGCAAATATAACTATTTTTTTTTTATGTAAATTTTAATATATTAGTATTCTATAATTAATAATACTCTATCCAACTCAAAACAAGATGAATATGAAAATTAAAAAATTAATAGTATTGTATTAAAATTGTTACGATGCTGATTTTTTAAAATATGCATAATATATACAAATAGTCATACCATTATTGCATACGATACATGATCTATGTAATAAATGCATGTATTATTTGTTCATAGTTACAAGTGTGCTTGTATGAGATTATAATATGTCTGGTTAGATTATATGTTGTATTTGTATTATATTAATATATATACTTTGCATTATCGGTTCAAACACATTATTGAATTTTATATTCTAGCAACCTCCGCCGTATATATTATATATTTTTAAAAAATACAAGTTATGTAAATTAAACTTAAAGTAAACTAATTTTAGTGAAATACCCTATGGCTGTTTTTGTTTGGGAATTTGAATTTTGAATTGAGATTTGAATAGTAAAAATTTTGAATTTGAATAGTTGTATGATGTGATATAAATAAGTGTTGATGTGATATTTTGAATGTAAAACTGATTTTTAGTATAATATAAAAAATGAAAAATAGAGGTTTGATTTGATATTTTTAGTGGAAAAAATTGGATGAACAGTGGATTTAAAATCCAACAAACACACTGTTTCTTACTAAACTTTTGTTTAGAAAAAAAAAACTTTAAAATTTTAAAATAGTAAAACTAATTCGATCTAATATTTTATAAAAAAAAAAAAAAAATTTAATACGATCTTTTAAAAATTTCGAATATCTTCAAAATGCAGTATTAATTGTTTAAACACAGCCGTGTTTGAATATACGCAGATGCTTGGACAAGGCGGCGCTAAAACTCAAGGAAGACGGCGTCGACCCGAGCCCGTGGAAGCTTTGTACCGTAACCCAAGTCGAGGAGATCAAAATCCTCGTCAAACTCCTCCCGATCCCAGCGTGCACGATCATGCTAAACCTCATATTAACCGAGTTCCTCACGCTATCGGTCCAACAAGCCTACACGATGAACACGCACATGGGCCAGCTGAAGCTCCCCGTCACGTGCATGCCCGTGTTCCCGGGCCTCAGCATCTTCCTCCTCCTTTCCCTCTACTACTCCGTCTTCGTCCCACTATCCCGTCGAATCACGGGCCACCCGCACGGCGCGTCCCAATTGCAGAGAGTGGGGATCGGTCTAGCCGTGTCGATCGTGTCCGTCGCGTGGGCTGGGATTTTCGAAAAATATCGACGGCAATACGCCGTCAAGCACGGGTATGAGGCGAGTTTCTTGACCCCGATGCCGGATTTGAGCGCGTACTGGTTGCTGATACAGTATTGTCTTATTGGGATAGCGGAGGTCTTTTGTATCGTCGGTTTGCTCGAATTTTTGTACGAGGAGGCGCCCGATGCTATGAGAAGTATCGGGTCGGCTTACGCCGCCGTCGCCGGCGGTTTGGGGTGCTTTGCGGCGACGATACTTAATAATATCGTGAAATCCGTGACAGAGAATCCCGCCGAGAGACGGCCGTCGTGGCTGTCGCAGAATATTAACACCGGCCGGTTCGACTACTTCTATTGGCTTCTTACGGTGTTGAGTGTTCTTAACTTTTGTGCGTTCTTGTATGCGGCGCATAAATATCAGTACCGGGAGAAGGAGGTTTCGGGGAAAAAGGTAGAACAAAATTTGTAACTACGGAAAAACGTACATTGGGTTCGTGAATTTTTATGTGCTCGGCGAGAAACGCCGGAGCGTAATGGCTGGGGGAGAGATTTCTGGGACGTTTAGTCGAATAGAGAGACTTACACACACTCTTTAATTTTATACATGGATTGATTGTTTGTTGGTGGATATTATCACTTGTTATGTTTAAACTTTGTTGTTGAATTAAACAATTGAGTGCATTGTAAGGGTGTATTTTTTGGAAATTGAATTTAGTTTTTTTATATGTTATTACAATGTTATTTATAAAATACACTATTTTCTATTCCTCATTCGTCTCATATATAATGTCATAAAAAAGTTAGCCATAAAAAGGTTAGCGTAGATAAAAAAAAAAACTTAGGAAAAATATGATCAATAAATATATTAGTAAAATTATTATAGTACCATACAAAATAACTAATTAGTATAATTAAAATTACACAATAATAAATTATAAAATTTAGAATATGTAATTTTATTTTATTTTATTTAAATAATATGAGATATATGGCAGATAGAAACATCAATCGTGACCTAACATATGGAACCAAAGAAGTATAAAATATTATATTCAAGGTTTTGTGTGAATTAAAATCCAAAATAAAATACTCCCTCCGATCCGCAAAAATTAGAACATTTGGGTCCGACGGAGATTAAGAAAAATAAATATTTTATTGAAAAAAACGATAAAAAGTAAAAATGTAATTGAAGATATTTTTGGAAAGTAAGTTACAAATTTTAAAAAAAATGAGGAAAATGAATGTAATAAAAGTAGTGACATTTATTGTAAACAAGTGTTAAATAAAGAATAATAATTAAATGTTGATTTGATGACTTGCCAAAATTAATATTGGGGTAAATTCAGGCGCACAAACTAAAAAGAAAAAGTGAGAGTAAATTTGACAGAAGGAGAGAGTATTATAAAATTTAATAACTGTTATATTTTATCGATAGAAGACTATGATAGATAAAGTTAAAATATAAATATTGATATAAATAAGTATAAATTTAAGGATATTTATAATATGTTATCGGTCATACACACATTTTATGTTTGGACAACAAAAAATAACATAATGTATAGTTATCGACGGAACAAGATTATAGTTTTTTGAATAACATTTTCGTATAAGAATAAAAAACTAAATCTAAATTAACACATTCATAATATGAAGATGTAATAACATAGTCGTGCAAGAAAAAGTAATTGTTTTGGTTTTGGGTTTTGATTTTGATTTTGAATAGTAAAATTTTGAATTGAAATAGTTGTTTGATGTAATATAAATATGTGTTGATGTGATGTTTTAATGTAAAATTAGATTTTAGTGTAACAAAATAAATAAGAATTGAGTGTGTGATTTGATATTTTTTGAGGGAAAAGAAAATTGAAATAGTAAAATCGGGGCTAAAATCTTACAAGTAAACAAATAAGTGATGGTCTCTAAGATACGCCCGATAAATGATCTAAAAAGATGCAAAATGCAATTAGTAATTATTCCTAAAAAGATCGAATTCGAAGATTTTCTTTTACCTCGCGGTTCTTTCACAAGAGCCGGGCTTTAGATGATTCGTATCCATTAGTTCGTAGCTTCTTTCATTCAGAAATACGACATTACCTGCTCGAGAACGAACAAATCAGAAATGTGAGATTAAGATCTTAAGTACATACATACATGATTATTCATAACGGCACGACAGACTATCCGTGATTCAGAAAAGTCGGGGAACTTATTGAATTCCATAGGCTAGTCGAGCAGTGTTAGGTCACAGCAGCATTGGCCCTCCGAGTAGGCCTTTTAGTCGAGGTTCCATGAAACCATCTTCAAATTTAGAGTTATATTTGGTATCGGCCTTTGCATCGCTCTTCTTATCAAAACAATACACGGGGGCTTGCCAATATGGATCTTCGAGCGCAGCGCCAACTTCAAACGTCATTACGTGGATCGATCTTCCTACGGTGATAGATGAAAATGCATCAAATATATGACAATTCCAAGAGTATTATTATTATCAAGCCAAAATCATCACTAGTTTGTTTTTTGTGATTTCGAATCAAAATCAAAACCTATTGACTTTGCACGGTTCTCAATAAAAATATATTATTTTTTTCATAAAATATCATATTAAAATATTATTTAAATAAAAACTTAAATCAACACTTTATTTCAATTCAATATCAAACCACAACCAAACAAACTGTCAGTTCATATGATTTATCCAGTAAAAATAAACAGTATTATTTTCTCTCACAAAATATCATATTAAAATACTTTTTAAACTTTAAACCAAACTTCAAATTCAAACCAAAAGCAAACAAACACAATATTTTCTATCCAATTACACTTTTTTTTTTACTTACATTTACAAAATTGTTTTTGCACTAATCACAAAAAAAAGGATAAAAAATATTACTTCAAAATTTAGTGTGTTCTTTTTACTTTTTTTCTCCTAAAGTTTTCCCAAAAAAATTAATACATTACACAAATTTATTATCTTTATATTACTTACACAATTCCCTATACCACACATAGAAAAAAATCCCTTCAAACTATTTCACACAACCACACGCTACATCGAAAAACATATTCTATTCTAACTTTATACTATTCCTAAACCAACACAAAAATTCCAAAACACATTTAAATGGAACATTAATTTTTCTGGAGAAGAACTGATATTAAGGATCAAGAAAATTCAAGGCTAGGCCTCCATCTTTGTCTCAATGTAAGGAAATTTCACTATCACTTGCTTGTCTTAAACTCTACCGTTATTCATGACAGCTGCTTTAGGAAAATGACAGGGAAACGAACGATTTTATTAGCTGTAAATCGACATCTAGTGTGAGATGGACATCCACTTTACATGGCCATTGTCCAAACTACAAGTCACCAATTTTATGAAATCATTTTCATACATATTCGATACTCTTCCGTGAACAAACTGTAAAGTTTAAACCAATCTTAGCTACATTACTCAGTCACTATAGGTTTGCTAAATCCTGCCCAAGCTTGTTTTTATTAAATTAGTAACATCGAACATCTGTAACAATTCCAGCAGAAGAACAACAATTCTGAAGTAAATCTTGTTAATGGAACATAATTTACTCAAACAATGGTTAGGATTCAAGAAATATCCTCACTAACAATGATCAAATTGCAGAAACAGATTTCACAATATTGATATCCTGATAGGATTCCATTCCAAGACGCCCATTATCAATTATGTTATCAAAAACAGGCCTAAAAGATAAGACTATACCAAAAGCCATAGCTAAAATACCTAATGTGTTCTTCTATAACACAACATTTGTGCTTCTTTTGTTGATGAAATGTTTGCATTTCAAGCTGGTGAGTTAACTGTTCATAGACTCCATCGATTTCCAAGTAAAACACAATCACACTGACTAATTTCGAAAAGTATAAAAAAACTTGTCGAAAACTTCAATTGATAGTCCGAACAAGCTTGCAGATGATAATTTTAATGGTAAAACGAAATTCAAGGCATTGTATCACTCACCAGTGTAGAAAACCCAATGTACAGGCCTTTTGGTGACGACATCCTCATAATACTTAATGAATTCAACTTTCGTCCAAACGTTGCACAAGAAGCCGTCGACATATTCCTGACCTAGGTATTCGGCGCCGTCCAGCCAGTTAGGGCGAAGAATTCCGACTTCGAGCTGAGCGGAGCTGCACTCCTTGTTCGAATCCAGAGTGTAGAAAAACGATGTGCCATTGTTCCACTCCAGATCGTACAATTTCTTGCCCAATTGGTCCTGTATGATGTTGAAGTTGCGGCCGTTTGGCCAATCGTACCAGAGGTCAATGAGTGAGAGCGATCCGCTGTAGTTAACGTAGAGAATGGAGTGAAATTGGAGCGGCCACACCGCCGGCTTCGGGACCTCCGCAGAGCATGCGACGGCGGCGAGCGACAGTAGCAGGAAAAGGACATAGCCGGAGGTGGAAGCCATTGGCGCCGCCGATAAAATGAGTGAATGGATTGGGTTGAGCTCAGTTAGATAGATTATAAATATATATTTTCATTTTATTTTATTTTATTTTATTTTTGTTTCGTCAGTTAAATTTATTTTTAAGATTTTTTAAATTTAAATTTAAATTTTATTATTAAATCTTCAAAGATATATTTACTATTTCTTTTATTTTTATTATTTCATAAAAATATATTATTTTTTTAATATACTAAAGGGTGTGTTTGTTTGGGGGATTTAATAAGATTTCTACTATTCATCCAATTTTTTTCCACCAAAAACATCAAATCAAACACCTATTTTTCATTTTTTATATTATACTAAAAATCAATTTTACATTCAAAACATCACATCAACACCTATTTATATCACATCATACAACTATTTAAATTCAAAATTTTTACTATTTAAATCCCAACTCAAAATCCAAACCCCCCAAACAGCATTATACTCCTTTCTTCTGTCTACTAATGTAATTTTTTGTTTTATTTGAAATTTTCAATAATTACTTTTTTTATTTTTATTTTTATACATAAATTTTATTATTTTATTTTATTTTTTATTTATTACTATTTTTAATATCTACCTTAAAATAAAGAATAATTTGTTTATTTTTTTTATTTATTTACTATTTTTAATATCTACCTTAAAATAAAGAATAATTTGTCTATTTATAATTACAAAACAATTATAAAAAAAACTGTATAAACATAATTTTGGACAAAAAAAATTAGATTGGGAAAGTATATACTAAGAAAAGTATTATATTACACATATTAAAAATTGTATTGATTTAGGTGAACAAAGTGTGTATTTTTTTTTTTTTCAAAACAACCAAATACTTCTATTAATATTCTATAATATAAAAATAATAATTTTTGTATAATATATATTATAAATTGTATAATATTTATTATATTAGATAGATACAATTACTAAATTATAAAATAATATTTTTGTTTTGAGACAAATGAAAATGAAAAATGCTACAATTCTTACGAGACAAAGGGAATATGACTTGAATATTTTCAATAATTTGTCTTATCATAATATTATCAGAGTGTCCGAGCCGGTCATATAAAATTATAAAATTTATAGATTTTTAATCTAACAAATATGTTTCAATTAAATTCAATTTTATATAATATAATTCAGAAGACAGTGAAAGTGAAAGACAATATTCTCTGCACTGTTGGTTTATTAATAAATTTTGAAATTACCAAAAATTTATTATTTGAGTCAGTTGATGTCTTCGCATTATTACATATGATATTAACATCATTTTTTTAAAAGAATTTATGTTTGTGAAATATTTTTTATACTTTAAGATAGTATACATTGACGCACTATTATCAATAAGAAGCATATTGTCTATGTTATTATTATTGTGAGACATTTAATATTCATATATATGTATATATTTTTTCTTGAAATATTTTGGCAAAATTTAAACAGTACTATAATGTCTTATTTGTATCCTAACAAAACTTCGAAATAATTTTTTTTGGAACACAAAATTCGTAATTCTTTTACTAACTAAAAAATACAAAATAAAAACATTATTTTTATATTAGCATTTTTCGACAAAGTATCATGTTAATAACATGTTATGTGATATATATATAATATAATATAATAATAACATTGTTTTATATATTATATTAATTTTTTATAAAATATTTTATGTTTTAATTTTTATAATTTTTATTAAATTAATTAATTAATTATTTTAATTTTAATTTTAATTATTTATATTATATTATTGTGGTTATATTTCATCACAAATCAAGATATTTATACACAAGGATCAATGTGACTAGTCATCAATGATAGTGCCACATGGTTAAGCTATTTAGACGACACCTATATTAAATAATGCTTCACAACATGAACAAAATTTTACGAGGAGAGCATATATATCTACATAAAAGACTAGAGGGGTAAAATTGTCAACCCAAATTTCTGACCCAAGGTTTCAACTACACATATATATAAGGCATCGTCAAAACCCTAGAATTCAGATTCCAGCATTCTCTTCGCTGCACTTCCTCAAAGTTTCTCATCGTCTCCCGGCGCCGCGTTCTTTGGATCGAAGATGGTAAACTTTCCAACCGGCTGTTGAGTAATTCGATTTTTGTTTCCCGTTTTGTTGGTAATCCGATAATTGATTCTCGTGAATAGGTTCTCTCAAACGATTACGATTTGCTCAACCCCCCGGCGGAGCTTGAGAAGAAGAAGCACAAGCTCAAGCGTCTTGTCCAATCACCGAATTCCTTCTTCATGGTACTCTCTCTGTTCTTTTTTTTTTGGTGGATTTCATGTCTTACATCTCAATTTTTATTTTATTTTTTGAATTTTTGTGTATGTTCTGAGTATTTTCTTTTGTATTTATTTGTTGATTGATTCTGCTTGTAGGACGTCAAGTGTCAGGGTTGCTTTAACATGTGAGTTGTTTCTAAAGCTATATTATCTGATTTCTGGAATTGATGCGTTGATCTTTTAGTCTAATTGTTTTCGGCCTGTGTGCAGTACCACTGTCTTCAGCCATTCTCAAACAGTTGTGGTGTGCGGCAACTGCCAGACGGTGCTGTGTCAACCCACAGGCGGTCGGGCTAGACTCACCGAGGGATGCTCCTTCAGGAAAAAGGGTGACTGATGGGCATGGTGATTTTCACTTCTGCCTGCATTCTTGTGATAGTCAGATGATAGTCTAGATGTTCCCTAGTGAGAATGTGGGCCTTGTGTTTTTGAGTTGGAATTTTGAGTATTTTGGTTTCTAATATATAGACAAGTTTAAGAAGTGACTGAAAATGTTATGCTACTACGTTTAATTTTGGAAATGAGAATGTTAATTTTAAGGATACATCTCCTTTGTTTTGTATAATTACTTCCACTTGCTCTTGAATCATTGCTGCTTGTTTATTTTCTGTGCCTTGTTTGGTTTTGATTAGTTAGTTAGTTCGTCAAATTTGTCTAGGACGTGTAGACTATTATGCATCAGCATTATATGCCTAGTTCCTAATCTAGTTACCATTACTAATCCTTTTCTATGAAAAAGGGCATTGATATTAATGTTTTTCGATAATGTTTTTCGAACTGAGACTTGTGCGAGGTGGGGATGGATCACTGTTATAATGGTATGCCATCAAATTGTTGCTTGCTTTTGAAGCCTCTGGATCTTGTTTGATGGTAGGTTTTCGATAATATGCATGTCCCGTCTCTTTAACATTAGATATTCAAACTTACAATGTGTCATATTTTCCATAACTCTGTAAAGCATATTGCTAGGAGGTGAAGAGGGTACTACATGTTTGAGCGTGTGAAACTATGGTTGTGTAGTAAATGATTTATAGTGTTGCAGGGAAACTGATTTTGGGGTTATGTTTTATTCTGCTATAAATTTATTGTTTGTTCTTTATATGGACATTGTATGACAATGATGAGAAATGTGAAACTTGGATTGATTCTTCAAGATTGTGGGATGCACCACAGTCAGCTTTATTCTTGATTTACACATCAAAGCACAATGCTTTTTGTGGAGTTGGTTTTGTGGGCTTTTGTATTTGTTTACTTCCCCAAAAATGTAGTTGAAGGTTTGAGGCTGGATTGCTTGATTTTGCCACAGAATTGGGACACTATTCCTGGAAAAGTTTAAAATGAAAATGATAAATCAAAATGTTTTTTTTTTTTTTTTTTTTTTTTTTAGCTGTGACAGAGGTGTTGGCAACAATTTTGCAATCAAGGGACTTAACTCGAGCTGTGTGGAGTTTTCGGAACTTAAAAGCTGGCTGGATCCTTGCATTTCAAATGGTACATTACTAATTCCAAACTTGATTCATTGTTAATTTGATACTTGAGCTCTGGCTTCTGATAATAAACATGTGTGTTTCTTTCTATTTGGTTTGGATCGAGTTTGAAATGTGTTCTTTATTTAAATAATATTTGATACGATATTATGTGATAGAAAAAAGTGTCTATAAAAGTGTTTTTTTTGTTGAGGGAATGTGGGGTTCAACTAGTAAAATTCTTTGTAGAGACTGAAAAGAAACACAGCATAGTCTAAAAAATGTTAACATAGACAGTCTGGCATAGTGTGCTTTCATAGTAATTGATATGATTTAAATTGATGTTTTTAAGTATGGTGATAAGATAAAATTGATGCAAGTGGGTTGGCAAGGCCTCGGGTTTGAAATGGTTTGGCCAAAATCGTAGAGATTTGGCCGAATTGGCTTGTAGCCAATTATTGTGGCGGCAGGGCCGGTCCTAGATTGGTTTATGACTAATAGTATTTCTTTTGTTGCATAACCTTATAGGTTTCGGTTTGGTTTGGTTTGGTTTGGTTCGAATTGGATTGGTCCCGACTCTTTAAACTAGAACTTGACTATTACTAGGCTTAGCCAAAGAAATGCTAAAATTAATAAAATTATAGTTGGCTGAGGATAATACATACATTTTAATCAATTAAACTATACATGTAATTATGATAGATAAAATAGCGTTATTCATTTCAATCACTTGAGGTAAACACACACACATACATTGTTATAGAATATACACAATTACTATTTGAATACTTAGGTCTGTTTGGTCATCAATTTTAGATTGTGTTGTGGAATATTATGATGTTTTGTTAATGTTAGGGTTATTAGTTGAAGTGATTTAAAAATCTTATTTCAAGAAAGTATATTTGATGTGAATGTCCTTTTTGTAAAGAAAACATGGTCATGCATTATTACGATAAATCAATGTTAAATATCAATTAATTATTTATTTATTTATTTATTTTTATATTATATTTAAAACATCAATTCATTATTAAGTTTTAAAATTTATTATCTTTATTATAGTTGTTGATTGGATAGAGATTATATGTTAAACCACATATAATAATACTCCCTTCGTCCATGTAATATGGGTGTATTGAGAAGTGTATTTAGTTAAAATAATTATTATATAGTAAACATAATTATTCATTAAAATTAAGATAGCTAAATAATTTAATTAAAATTAAAAAAAATCTAAAAATTAAAATTTAAAATGTAATTAAAGTGTATAATTATATTTCTAAGAAGGAAAGAACAAATTATGTGTGATAGAGCGGATATAATTTATAATATATATTTATATATATTGATATTGATGTAATTTTATATAGGACATTGTATTTTTTATTTCAAAATAATAACAATATTTATACATTCTATTTAAATAATAACAATCTAATAGTAATTCGCATTTCATTGTCAGTTAAGAAAATTTATTGATAAGTTTTCCAATTTTTTCCTGATGCTACGTGTTGAGGAAATTACAAAATTTAAACACTAACTATCGATGATACAGTGTTACAATAATTTTAAAGTGATCTCACGATGACACACAACAATATGCATATATAATTTTTTGATAAAACCAATACTCCCTTTCGTCCTATTTACCATGTTCACATTGCCGTTTCTGTCCGTCTTACGTTCAATGTCACTTTTTCTTTTTTCTTTTTTAAATTGATTGCACTTTAATTTCATTTTAAATTTTTTATTTTAAATTTTAATTTTAATTAAATTAATAATGAGTTATCTTAATTTAAAATTATTATTATTATAATAGGATAATTATTTTCACGAATATATTTTTAATTATCTACTAATTATATTTATCCAAAATTTTCGTATCTACAGTGATTCAGACATCCAACGTGGGACAGAGGGAGTACTCCGTTCACAAACTAATGTCCTACTTTTCTATTTGGGATGTACAACAACTGTTGTCCTATTTCTTTTTTTAAACACAAATTTTACATTTTTACTCTTCATTCATTTATTACTTTTAATTTTTACCATACAATTAAAGGCAAATTTATCGATTCATAATAAAAATATGATCACCTAAAAAACTGTGCAAATATACTCTATGAAAATAGAAATTCGATGGAAGAAGTATATAGTTGATACCTCGAATTATTTACATAAGAAACAGCTCCGCTGTCAATTAGAAGAAAGAGATTATCTTTGATTTTTGTTTTCAATTTCTTTTTTATAAAAATATAGATTCTCGGTATCAATTAGAAGTATTATTTCTCAAAAATATTCTTTTCTTATTTTGTTATTGCAGTAAAAATAATTATATAATATCATTTAATTTTTACATAAAATTTTTAAATATACCATTATACATACAATTAGTTTATAAATAATATTTTGAAGGCAAAATTGTCAAAAATATTTTATATATTTTCATCAACCAGTTACTCCCTTTTTAATTTACTATAAAATTCTAAAAAATTTATTTGCACTGACGAAGGGAGGGAATATTATTTATCTCACAAATATTACATTCCACTAAAAATTCAAAACCTAATACTCCCTCCGTCTCATTATTTATTTATTTGTTTTTTGCACGAAGTTTTAGAAATATTAGTATTATATTGGAATATAGTAGAAATAAAATAGAATATTAGTATTGTGTGATATAACAGTAATGGTATTTGTGTAATATATTTGAAATTGTAAGAGTATTTGTAATATTAGGAACATATTATATTTATTAAAAAAAAATGAATACTTTTGTTATAGGACATATTAAAATTAAAAAAAATGAATACTTTGTTATCAGACGGTTGGAGTATATTATAAGAAATTACATAAACTTTAAAGTTAAATTTATAAAATTAGTTACACTCCTTTTGCATATACACTTTTGTATGTTTTATATATTTTTCATCGACAATTTTTTCTTCTAAAATTTTCTCTTGTGAATATCACATTAAATACTAAGTTTATTATTATTGTTTTTTTGGTAAAACTTTTCTGAACTCAGCTGAATGAAAAAATGCAAAATTGAAAATTTAGTACCTAAACACTGTTTGGTCATCATCCATTCAGATATTATTTAGAATTATATTATAATATAAAAATTATCTAACCCAAAGACAAGAAATAAATAAATAAATAAGACTGCGTTTGTTTTGTATGGAAAATTGAATGGCGATGAACCAAAATTCCCGACAACGTTACAATGGGAAAAGTAAAACGACAAATGTGCGAAGAAAATTTCAACAACAGTGACAAAAAATTGAAAAACCACACATTTATAGGAATCCTAAAACCCGACAAGCCAAACATCCCCTTACCTTAAAATTTAGATAATTCGTAATATATATATATTTTTAAAAAATAATAGAAAAATGTAGATCAGAACCATCCTCCATACCCGCCGGAAAAGCTGCTTCTGGCGGGGTCCATGGCGGCGCCGCCGTCGTAGCTCAGGTAATTATCCGCCGCCGCCGCCGCCGCCGCGGCGCTGTCCACGCTCCGCCGCCCTTGTTCCAAATACCTCATATCATTCAGCACTCCATGTCCCATTTCCGACAGCACCGGCGGCTGCCCGGAGTACCAGCTGCTGGTAATGTCCGGCGGCAGCGGCGGCAGCTCGCTGCCGCCGCCACCTCCACCGCCGCCGCAGCCAATTATCTGATTTCCGTAATTACTCGTCTGGTGGTTCCAGGCGGTCTCCCCCGGCGTCAGGTGGAATCCCTGCGGCGGCGGAGGCGGCGCCGCCGTCTGCCTGGCGGCGGCGCAGTCGCCGAAGAAAAGCATGTTCTGGGAGGCGGCGGCGTCGTCGGGGAAAATCATGGAGAAGTCGTGGCGGCGGGAGGTTTCGTCGGGGGAGACGATGGAGGTGACGGCGGAGCCCGGGGGCATGTCGTAGTAGATGAAGTTGGTCCGGGCCCTGGAGCCCCGCATGGTCCTGGCGGCGCGGTCGTAGGCGAGGGCCGCCTCCTCGGCGGTGTCGAAGGTCCCGAGCCAGTGGCGCTCTTTGGTGGAGGGGTCTCGGATCTCGGCGGCGTATCGGCCCCAGGGGCGGCGGCGGACGCCGAGGAATCGGTTGGAGGAGGCCGGGTCTTGGGGGGTCCCGGACTTGTTTTTTTTGGGCTTGGGGGAAGGGGAGGAGGAGGAGCTTGGTCCGGGCCTGCTGCTTGAGCTGTCCATTGTGTATATATATAATAAAATGAGAGTTGACTTGATTTGACTTGACTTTGTCAGTAGATTTTCTGACAGTGGAAGAAGAAGAAGGTGAAGGAGAAGAAGAAAGCAATTGAAATGCAGAAGATGATGATGATGGAGACTTATTTCTTGATTGTGTGTTTTTGAAAAGTTGTTTGTGGCAGTTGATGAAATGTTTGGGGATTTAGGGGGGTGTTTAAATAGGGGGGTCTGAATTAATATTTTATATGTATTTAATTTATTTATAATAAAGCAAGGGACTTTATCTCTCTAAAACCCCTCTCTCTCTCTATATGTATATGTATATGTATGTAGTATTGGGATTGATTATCACATGGATCATGATTAGGCATTTGCATATTATGTGCTCTCTCAAATACACTAATCACATGAAGGAGCTATACCAACATCACCTTCAAATTTGTTAACATAAAATTATGAGTTTAAATTTTGGACCTTTACAAATTTAGCATATGGAGTTTTATAGAAAATTAAAAAATAATAGTATTTTATTACTCAGTGCAAATATATAAAAGATTTTGACATTTTTGTCTTTAATTTTTTTGTATAAAATAATTATGTAATTTATGTAAAAATCAAGGTATTTTAGTATTATTATATGATTATTTTTCTAAAATAAAAAATTAAAAATTATTTGAAATGAGACAGATGAAAATAGTATAAAATATTTTGAATTGAGACGGAGGAAATATGATTTATTTAGCATACAATATGTTATTTGTTTAGTATGATTTATCTTGCTAATTTAATCTATTGACAATTAAGTTTATGAATATACATAATTATGCAAGCTTAGACTCACCCTACGGTACCTAAAAATTATTTTCAACATAATTTATTGAATTAGTTAAATATTTATTTTATTTTCCAAATACTTTTATTAAATACAATTTTTTTTCTCTAAATCTTTGTTGGCATGTGATTCTTGTAGAATCCAATCATAGGCGGTACCATAACCAAAATATTATATATATATATATATAAATAGTTAAGGATGATCAATACATAAAATATGGATAATCAATATCAATTCCTAATATCATGTGACATGATGTGTAGTGTGCTGTAAGATTATGGGCGTGTTTTATTATGAGTTTGAAAAAAATTTGGTTTGAGTTTGGTAAAAAATAATATTTGATGGAATGTTTTGTAAAAAAAAAAATATATATATTTTTTTCGAAAAACGCAGAGTCTAAATAGTCAAATTTAAAAAAATATTGTTAAAGAAACATACCCTATATGTTATATAGATATTGTTATATTAACATATGTATGTGTTGTATATATAAACTAGTATTATCATAGATTGTCAATTGCAATTGTATTATACTCCCTAATGTCTTTTTGTTATGAATCGACAAATTTGCCTTTAATTGTATGGTAGAGATTAAAAGTAATAAATAAATGAAGGGTAAAAATATAAAATTTGTATTTAAAAAAAAAAAGAAATAGGACAATAGTTGTTTGACGTCTCAAATAAAAAAATAGGACATTAGTTTGTGGACGGAGAGAGTAGTAATGTAAATATTGATGTATATCTTATGTATTATCTCTTTATATTTCATGTACTGTATAATTTTATTTAATTTAGTGAGTAATGTATATATATATAATGTAAATAACTACGGCTATGTCTTTTTAGTCATGAGTTTGGAAAATTCATTGTGCTATTACTGTGGAAGTCTAATTAAGTCCCAAATCATCGTTCTTTAAGACAAAATCTGAAGTCTACATAAATAAGTTTTGATTTTTTCAAAACAGATAAATACACTTATGTCTGTACACTCATGCGGTAGTAGAATTAATTAACGATTTAACGTAATTATAAAATACAATTAAATAAAAATATATATAATATAGAATAAAATTTTATATAATACAAATAAATAAAAATATTTAATACAAACAAATACTTAAATCAAATTATTATTAATTATATAAATATAATTTAATACACTTTACATTACATTATTACCTATCAAATCAACATCTATTGAAACCCCTCAAACCAAAACAAAACCTATTAACCCAAATGAACGCATCTTTCCAAAACTACAAAAAAAATTTCAAATTCAACTCAAACCAAAACCAAATCTTTCCAAACTAATACCCAAGAATCACATCCTACAACTTTTTGCAGGTGAAGCTAGCTAGCTAAGAAGATGACCATGTAACGAATGTGGATGTATGATTCAATAAATACAATACGTGTATTTTTATGTATATATATATATATATATAGAGAGAGAGAGAGAGAGAGAGAGAGAAAGAGAGAGACGTGATTCAATGATGATTGATGCAGGTGAGGTAATGGATGGGGATCGATGGAAAGGATGATTGAAATAATGATTGGGAATCTCAATTCACCACTGATCGTGATCGATATATATATATATATGTATATAAATTGGGTAATGCCATCCATATATACGCCATTAATGTATTGAATTGGAGGTAGCTAGCAATGATTGGCAGGCAGGATCCCTCCATCATTAAACATTGCATTTCTTTAACTAAATTAACATTGAAATTCAATCACTAATTAATCAAATCAAATCCATATATATATATATATATATTGTATAGATGATGTGATGATTGATGAGATGATATAATCTGCAGCAGCTTAATTAACAAGAAAAACCTGCAATCTCATCATCGTCGTCTACAATAATCTAATCAAACCATACTGCAATAAATTATATATGTATATTGGAACACTATTGATGCATTGTAGCCCATGTGACATTCACATTAATAACACTTGATCTTCCTGTATTACACTTTTCCTGCTTTTTTAAATATTTCTTTCTTTTATTTTAATCTCTCTCTCTCTCTCTCTCTCTATATATATATATATATATACATGTGGTGTGTGCATTGCATTCCCTCCAAAAGATGATGCCATGAATTCAATCTTGAAACACATATTTTATATATATAGAGAGAGAGAGAGAGAGAGATGCATGGATTTGATTGAATTTAAGTGGGATCAAAGGGAAAAAAATATAGAGGAAGAAGAAGAAGAGAGAAATGATGATGAAATGAATAAAAGGTTAATTATATATATATTAGCATTGGGTAGCATGTGATGCATTGTCTTTTAGGAAAAAGAGTGAATCTTTGGTACTACCTAACACATATTAATTTACACCCTTAATAGCAAAAACCACTTTACATACACTTATATACACACACACATACATATATATATATATATATCAAATTAATATTATTCTACAACAAACTAATCAAACTATTCACACACACTAACTCCTTTGCTTAGCAATGCAAATTGAACAACACACTCTCACACACCACAATACTAATTAATAGGACAATAATAATACAAAGATTGTATCTTTAATAATAATAATAATTATGTAGCAAGATTAAAGCTTGGTGGGTAATTATGCCTTAGGGACAAAGAAACCCTTGATCTAATTTTATGTAGGTCTTGTCTTTGTTGACCCTTACCTTGATTTTGGGCAAATTAAGCATGCCACCATTTCATCATTCATCAGTCAAACCTTTGATTGTGATTATTTTGGTCTAACCCTTAAATTTCAGCAAAAGTGAGGATTTTGAGCCCAAAAATGCTCTCAAAAGTATTCACTAAATTTTTTGTGCCCCCACAAGAAAAAAAAAAAACAAAAAAACACCATTTTCTCAAAAAGGGTCTTCTCACTTTGTGTTCTAAACACAAGTTGGACAAAAAAAACTTGTGGGTTCCTAATTTGGGGGGAAATGTTCCATTTCTTGTATGGTTCTTTGACATTTATAACTTATATATATATATTTATACTCGTCGTTTCATCGAAACCTTTCTTTTTGGCTTGATCCAATCAATTAAGGGAAAGATTAAACCGAACGGGACTACGATGTTTTCGACACCGGAAAAATGTGTTTTTAGAGGCAACCCAATTCAATTCTTGGACAAGGGATTAATCAAGAAAAGGACTTTTAGATATATACACATAGAAAACAGTGTATAGTAGGAAAGTTTTTCGTATGAGAAAGCATTAACTAGGAAAATGAACCTACCTAATTAGTAGCATCATTAGATAGGCTCTTGATGGATTGACCATCTCATTATAATCCATAATAATAACAAGTAACATATCATATAATACTACTATCATATGTATATGTATATATTGTATGTAGTCAATCTTTGTACAATATTCTAGTCACCTTTATAAACCCACATTATATTCAATTCAATTTAATTTCCAGTTATCTATAAAGTCATCCATATTCAATATTAAATTTGACTTATACTACAATTGTTGTTATCCAAAGAACCACTATTGAAGATAGTGGCCTACTACTAAAAGCGTGTTTAGCATATTTAAACGCGCGGTTGATTTTTGTCCTCCCAAAAAACGACTTTAGACCAAAACCAAAATCACTCAAAAACACAAGGTGAGAGCACGTGAGGAGATGAGCCCACCATTAGAACTCTATACCAACTTTGCACATGCCTACTCAACAAACCAAACTTCATAATACCATTTTCTGTCACATACAAAATCATAAGAAACCGACTCTGTTTATATACATATTTTTTTAAAAGTTCAATCACTATTCAACTAAAAAAAATAAATAACTAAATAAAATCACATAAAATACCTATTTCATGTCGTAAAATATTACATCAAATACTTAACCGTTTACCATTTTCAAATTTTTCTAAAACTTCAAAACGTACAAAAACTTAACTTTTATCTAAACGAAGCCAATGTTTTAGAGTTTTAAAGTTTTGGAAATAGTAAAATATACTATTTTCTCTTACAAAACATCGCCACATCCAGATTAATATTCAAACCAAAACTCAAAATATAAGTCGAAAAGAACGAAGCTGTGTTTCAACCATCACACCCAATACCTAAATATATATATATATAACTCATCCCGTATTTCAAACCATCACATTTAATATCTATATATACCTCATAAAAACAGGTTTTCTATAAAATATTTTACTACTCACAAATGAACGTAAGATTCTAAAATACTTTTGAAGCATATATAAACACACTTCATCAATGGAAGAAGAAACTCCTTATTTGACAGGAGGAAATCATTCTTATTCTTCTTTCAATAGTTCTATATTTGCGCACGAAAACGACAATCATACACGCATCTAGACACTCCACATATCAATATCTATAAGCATATGCAAATGATTTGCGCAAATAGAAGATCATAGAGAGATAACAAATGAGATAAAGGATTGTTCCCCCACAGGGTCCACATGATAAAACTGATATAGAGTACTTCTAAGATTAAAATTATGTTTTTCATTGAAGTTTATGGCAAATCATCAACGAGCTGAAAATGGTAGCGGAAAAAGATCACTTACCTTTGCTTCGAAAATCCCTTCAGTTGCTGATCAAACTAGGAACTTAGACCACGAACCTTTATGGCCTCCTCAATCCCAACACGACAGTAGGGACAGCAGCTTCCTGCAGTGCTGCATTCGGTATCATAGCAATGGTGACACAGGACTTCATGGGTGCATGGTAGAAAGACTACAGATACTTGTCTCTCGGCGCAGATTATGCAGTCCCGGTTGCGGGAGTAAGATGAAGACTCGTCTTGGTCATTTGATTCTAGAGAAGGTATTTCCATGTTCTCAAAATAGAATTTGCCGTCCACTTTGGTTAAATCTGATTGTGCCCGACGAGATTTGAGGAGACCGGACAGTTCATCTTTGAGCCTTTGGTACTTGTCCATTGCCTGTTGACTCTCCATCTCGTAAATCTGGCGCAACTTATGCAGCCTTGCTTGTGTATTGGCCATTTCCTTTTCCCATTCTTCGGTCTTTCTATTTTCTTCGGCCAGAATGGCGAGCATCTGTTCTTTTTCCTTGATTTCTTCCTTCAATTTGATCTGCAATTGAGACCGATACGAAAAATAAATGGAGTTCAGTCTTCTGGCAATAACAACACAAATCATAAACAGATGGATCATATTTACTCATAAACCAGGTTCATTATGAAGTTGTTTTCATTTGCATATATATACACAAACATATGATATACAATTTCTAGAAAAAGAAACAGAAAAATAAAAATAAAGAAGAAGAAGAATGAGAAGGAAAATTCAACAGCATCCACACTTCAAGGAATGGATGGAAAGAATAAAAGAATCGATAGTCCAAGTATTCATTATCTCATTTCAGTTTGTCGATTCTGCTCACCACTGTTGTCACGGCGTTGCCATGGCGGTCCACAAAGCACATAAACTGTTTAGGGGCAGTTCTTTAGTTAATTTCTCAGGGCTCTACTTTATTAGTCCGCCTATGTTTCTACCCATGATTGTAGTTTAACTATCTCCTACTACATACTTAATTTCTTTCAAAATGAATAAATAAGATAAAATAGGTGCATGAATCATATCTAAATATAGCCAAGTAAAATGTGTCTGGTCTAGGCTCAGATTGATCACTCCCTCATATCATTATTGAGTGTGAAAAAAAAAATGCTCTTGGATGAATCCATCCTTTGGAAATTAAAATCAGATATTAACTTTTGCTACTTCATCTCTAGATGCACCATACATCTTATAAAGCAAATGGTATGGCATATATATATATATATATACTGCAAAGCATGGGGTGAGAGCAAACAAAAATTTCTGAGTTTGGATGTAATTTCAGACCCTGACTTACTGATTTTTCAGAATTTCAGCTCTTAGCTCAGTTTCAGTTCCTAGTTTCCCTGTAACCTTATCTTCTCTAGGTCCACTTTTGTATGTTGTATTTCTTTTGTCTTACTGTTTATACTGAAAATGCAGTTTGGTCAAGCATAGGGTCGCCTACCCTACCCGTGTTCTACAAATGTATTTGTGATTCTTAACTAAAAGATTCGGATTCCCAATACCAAATCCAGAGGAGAATAAATTCAAGTTTTTTAACAGATTCATACTCTTCCCTCCTTCACATTGAAACAAAAACTACCTTAGCATTCAAAAAATTCACAATATGTCTTAATGGGAAAGGCTGTAAAATTCTAGGAGCATGCAGTAAAGACAACTTGAATCCTCATTATGTAATATAGAAGTTGGTAATACACTTAATTAAATTCTGGGAGCGAACATAAGCTGCATTTAGTTAAAAATTGATTTCAATTCCACACAGCAAATGGAGAAGACTGGTAGTAAGGCTTCTTTATAAATTTCAACAAAGATTATACTAATGATGGCATAATGCATAACATCCAGGCATCTAGAATAGCACCCATAAGAGAAAATAAATTATCTTAATAACAGGTCCTAGAACGAGAAAACATTCAACATATAACAAGTGGGAGAGAAGATGTTCGGGCATGAAAAAGCAGGGGTATTTAATAGATGGGGAATTGAAGTTAATGTAAGTTTGTTTAAAAGATTATTGGAAACTTCTGTAAAGGGTTACCATGTTAAATCATAAGAATGGCGTACCTGAACTTCATCAACGTCCTTCAGAACTTGAATCAATTCCTGCTCCGATTGCTGGAGCCTCTTCTTGTCTTCACTACACTGTTCTCTGAGAAGTGCTGTTTCTTTTTCAGCATCAGCGAGTTTTTTCAAGCTTCTCTGTTCTCTCTTCAACACTTCTTTCACCAATTCATTGGTCCCAGATGTATTTAGCTTCAAGGCTTCAATATCCGCCCTAATTTCAGCATTCTCGAGCTCCAGCATTTTTGCTTCTTCAGTTGCAACCTTTAGGCTAAAATTTGCTAGATTCAAGGCTTTTTCCTTTTCCTTAATCTTCTGTGCATTAAATTTCTCCAAAGCCTCATTCTCTTTTCTAAGAGATTCCAAGTCTACCCTATTCATCCTTAGAGTATGAACCTCCAGCGAATGTTCACTCAACTTTTTTGCACAATCTATCACTTTCTTCTGAGACCACTTCTTTTGCTGCTCAACCTTTTCTTCTAGTTCTCTGATTTCCATCTTCAACTCAGCAGTCTGTTCTTCTGAATATTCGGGAAGGGCCTCCAGCTGTTTCTCGAGGGATTCTTTAGAGCTTCCAGCCACAGATGAAAGAGAAGAAGTGTCAGAAATATCATAACCTTCTTTAAGTTCATCCCTGACACTTGCAAGAGGCTTCTGCGCCGTAACTGAATCTACAAGAATAGGAAGTCTGTGGCTTAGATGAGTTGCTAGTGCAGGGTTACGATAAACCCTTTCCAAAAATGATGGTGCACGACCATTTGGTGCAGCAGAAGATGAATAACCCATGGATACACCTTTAGTTTTCTCATTCCCATCCTGAACACTAGAGGGCACTCTCAATGTTGGAACAGAACCCCAATCCTTCAGCAAAAGTTGGGACATTGCATCAGACCTTCTCATATTTGGGCAACTTTCCTTGATTTCATTTATCAGACATTCCAGCATGTATGAGCATAAATTGCTCATATTCTCGAAACAAACTCCTCTTCCCGTAGCATCTTCTTGAAGAAAATCAATTGTATTTCTCATAACATTGTTCGTAGGATCCAGGGGGCCTGTGATATACCCATTCTTCAACATTGCCTGTTCAATATCAGCCTCTGCATACCCCGCTGTTTTCAACAGCCAATCTTTCACTTCAGTATATAGCACGCTAATTCTTGCAACAAGAACTTGCTCCAATTCTTTTTCTCTAGCTGTGCTAAAGACTCTGGTTACTGTAGAATCTACAGTTGGTAGAGTATTCTTCCCCTTGGAATCCTCCGGTCCATCAGAAAAGTTGCTTGCTATTTGTTCTTCCAGCTTCTCACTATCTGTGCCAGACTTCTTCGACTTGGATCTTCCTTTTCCACTCTTACGTCCTCTAGAGCCACCCATACCTACTACCTGAAACGCAAACAGTTCAAGGGGAAAGTCATAAGCTACTCACAAGATGGATGAAAATGAACTGCAGACATATATGCTTAACAAACATCTTAATTGGGAAAAGAGTCTCCATCTTTTTATAAAAAGTAAACAAGACTCAGATATAGAAATCATTTGGTTGTTCAACAATTATGAATTTACAGAATGTTGCATCCCTCTATAATCCCAAACACTCTGAAACGACAGAAAATGGGTTAAAAACTTAATATGTTCCAGTTTTACAGGTCCATAGACCATTGCCCCACCCAAGTTTAACTTAGGTCATGCAAAACATACTCTACCAATAGTCATGACCTAAAGAATACTACGTAACTTACCAAACAGGACCCCTTTGGATTTATGTACCAAATAATTACTAGCAACATTAAACAACTGCTGATATTCAAATTCAGAAAGGTTTAGCAAGTTTTCCTACAAGGCAACCTGAGATTGGGCAATTAATGTACAAAACATAATCTAAAGTATGATTAATCTAGTAAGCAGAAAAATTAAGAAACTCCAGTTTAATAAGAATGAAATCTATATATCTATGATATTGCGGTACTTGATGCTCATGTCATTCAGCTTTCAGATAATACCCATCTATGTTAATACTACCTAGATATTATGTCAAGGCAATGTGTAGATATCATAAAAGATTTGTGAAAAATTATGGTCCATGGGTGTGCATAATTTTAAAATATAAATTAGATAATTAAAATAATGCTCCTTTTACTTTATGATAATTAAAAAACAGCAAATAAATTGAAGGAAAAATATAGAAAAGACAAGGCTGAAACAGAAGAGATAAAATTGATTTAAAATTAAAATTGAATAAGAAAACAAGATAAATGAGGGGGCATCGTAGTTGGTATGTGAAACCGAGGTACTTACCATCTATCCAACATAATTAATGCTTATACACGCAGAAGAATGAAGTTAAATACTTTACTAATAATGAATACTACCAATGTATTAATGCTTCAATTACACAAAGAAAACTTGAAAAGGAAAAAGTTAAAGATGTCCATTATAAGAAGAGTTCTTGAGACTATGTGATAATATGTGTAAGTGCATGTGTGCAAAAATTACAAAGAATTAAACAGCCACAACGGATTTTATTACTTTTTATACCAACAATATATCATAAAAGCCATATATCTAATGAATCACTACTGAATCATCATCATTTCAATTATACAAAGCAAACTCGAGAGAAAGATTAAAAATGTCCATTTAAAGAAAATTTCTTGAGTTTATGTGGCTATATATATATATATATATATATACATGCAGGGGTGGAACTAGGCTGCCCCTCAAGCCCCAAAATTTATATTTTAGTGTAAAATAATATAAAATTATATAGTTCTGTAAAAATTGCCCCCTCAAGTTTCAAGCTATCATCCCCCCGCCCCCCCGCCCCCCCCTTTTTTTCTTCTTCTCCTTCATTCCTTTCCTTCTTCTTCTTCCCATTGTTGATGTGCCAAGAGAAATAGAAGAAAGCGATGTCAGATCACCGGCAGAAGTATAGAAATATACTTCCTACCCCCAAAAAAATTGTTTATCCTTAGTGTATAGAAATATAAAATGTAAAAATTGCCTCCTCAAGATTCAAGCTATCGCCCTTCCCCCTTCTTTCTTTTTCTTTCCCTTCATTCTTCTTCTTCCCATTGTTGATGTGCCAAGGGAAATCAAAGAAAGCAGTGTCGGATCGGCGGAAGTGAACCGACATTCCGCACCCCCCAAAAGTTCGAAGAAGGCGGTGTTAGATGTTTGTGTGTGAAAATCAAGAAGGTATTAAACAGCCATAATTTTTATTTATTTTTTAGGGATGCCAACAATATATCTTAAACGAAATTTCAAAGCAACAAGTTCTTGCCACACAGGCTTTATCAAGGAAAATAGAAAAATATACAGAAGATCTGATGGCAGAGAAATATCCTACCTATCAACAGACTTCCCAGGCTTCGTAAAAAGGACGGAGCAGAAGCGATTCCTTGAGTTCCTAAGCTCCACTGCCTATATCATCAAACTTGTCAAAGGAACGCAATATGAAAATCAGAAGAAAATCAAGGGAAAGAAGATGAAATAGCGAAAAAATATCCTTCCACAGCTGGGTAAGGGCTGTCTAATTGAATGCTAGCCATTAATTGAAAATGAGGGCGATGAGTACGATGTGGTGGGGAAGCTGATATGGAGGAATCTTTTTTAAAGGTGGTAATAGAAAAAACCAGCTAAGCAATTAAGCGAAAGGCTAACACGTGGCTTTCATGCAGATATAGAGGTTTAAGAGACGTTTGGGTGGTCACTCTGAAAACAGACGTTGGGCTATGCCCAAGAATATTAAATCAACCTGAGACTTTGGGCTGTGCCCAAGAGTAATAGCAATAGACCATGTTAATGATGACTAGGGAAAGAAAAACAAAGTGTGTAGTATTTATATTTTAGGAAACAGATTCTTTTGTGATTAGCTTTCTAGAAATAAAATAGTTAGTTCCTGATTTGATTCCCAAAAGGTATTGAGAGTTGATTAGCTATGGCTCGCATGAGTAGTGTGCATATACATAAGCTTTGTTGATAGCAATAAAAAGATTGTTTTCTTATTTTTATCTTGTATCAGAGCCAAATGGTCAGAATTCCTGTTTTTCGGCCTTATTTTTCTTTTTGGTGTTTTCTTGCCTCGCACCTTCATTGCTGTTAAATTGACAATCCAGCCTTTATTGCTGCTTTTCTTTTCTCTAAACTGTGTATTTGTGGTGAACCGAAATGTGGAATTTTATGAGCTTGGAGTGTTGGATTGAAGTTTGAAAGAGGAAGAATCGTATGCCTTTCTTCGGTACTTTGAAGATGAAGAAGAGAGTAGAAACATTGAAGGGAGATCACTCCACCAACCACACCACCTTCATCAAGATCGGAGGCATCATCATCATTAAGTGAGATAACTCCAAGATACCGGAGAGTGAATTATCTCTGTGATGCAACCTATAGGTTTGATGATTACAACATATTTTTTTGTTGATGGATGGCAAGCCTGTCTTTTCAAGAAGCTGGAAAGGCAAGTGGATATGAAGAGATTCAAGCCATTAAAAAGAATGACATGTGAGAGCTAGTACCATGATCACTTAATTATCAAAATTATTGATGTAAAGTGGGTGTATAAGAGGTCGAGGGGTACAAAGCCCAGTTGATAGCAAATGGTTACAAGCAAAAGCATGGAGTCAATTATAAGAAGGTATTTGTCCCGGTGGCAAGATTGGAGACAATTCGACTATTAATCTCACTTTCATCGCAAAATCAATGAAAGATCTACCAATTGGATGTTAAGTACGTATCTCTCAATGGGTATCTTAAGAAAAATGTGTTCATTGAGCAAACAACCAACTGTGTTGTTCAAAGATATGAAAATAAAGTCTTGAAGTTGAATAGGACACTCTATGGGCTCATGCAAGCTCCTTGAGAATGGAGTAGTTGTCTTGACAAATATTTGCAAGATGATGGATTCTCAAGACGCCAAAATGATTGCATGCTCTATATAAAAGTAGAAGATGGACATGCGCTATTCGTTTTTGTCTACGAGGATGATCTCATTTTCATCAGAAGCAATTCAAAGATGGTTTCAAGAAGTCAATGGCTCAAAATTTTGAAATGAGTGATATGGAACTAATGTTGTATTGCTTAGGATTTTAAAAAATCAAATGGAAAAAGAGATTTTCATCTCCCTAGAAAGTTATGCAAAGAAAGTGCTAAAGAAGTTTAACATGTTTGAAAGCAAACCCGTGAGCACGCTCATGGAGTGTAGAGAAAAGTTGTCCAAAAACCAAGGAGGATGAAGCGGTTACATGGAAAAAGTCTTGTTGGAAGCCTAAGGTGCTTAACTTGCCCTAGACCCGACATTTCTTTATTTTCAGTGGGAATTATGAGCCGTTAAATAGAGTTAATTATGATATATTAAATGACCATCTCACTTAAAAGTACAAGTTGATGGAGAAATACATCATTAATTATATATTATCCGGTCTTTTTCAACATATGAAAAATAGGATAGAGAAAAAATGAAGATTTGAAATTTTCTTGCTTGCATTTTACTGTTCTCTTCCGTACTATATCTGAAATTTTTAGAGTAATTGTTGATTTTGAGTAGCATTGCTCAGATTGTAAACATGGTTAGTTAAATCCATTTTGTGAGTATTTGCATTTCTTTTATATATGTTTCATGCTTATTTTATTTATTCAATGGGTCTTTATCCATGAATTTAAGTGTAAAGCAAAGGGAAAACTCCAAGTCTAGATCAATGAGGAATTTTACAACCTTTAAGGAATAAACTAAAACTTCATAGACTAATTGCAATTTTATTTATTTATTTATTTTTTCTGAAGTACCCTCAAAGAAAATTTTGAAATATGGATCCGCTGAAGTAGGTTAATGGGAATATGGGATGGAAACCCTGTGTTGTATGATAATCAGAGTTGTTACCCTATGTCACTCTCTTGTATAACAACACCACATATCTATCGCCCTAACTGAATTGAAAGAGTAATGAACTCAATTAAGAAAGAAAGTTAAAAAGACTAATTATTATTGAGAGGGTTCACAAGGGAAAGTAGTAATGGCTGAGAGAACTGAACAAAGGAATCAGTGCTACCAATTCACCGAGATGCTAAGGAGGGTAAGTGACACTTAGCAACATTATTGTACAGAAAATAGATTTAACTTTATGCTATGGTTTAGTTTAGCTTGGTGTAAGTGCATCATCAGAGAAATTTGTAGCTCTCTTTCAGAGAACCTGAGGAATTTGCTTGGTTGAACCCAAGTCCAATATATATTTATTGGTAGATTATAATTCAGAACATCCCCGTTGCATAAATATGATTTCCATGAAACTCACGGAGAGCATGCATTTGCACTTGCGTCTTTCACAATAATTAATTGAACACCTTGGTCATTTCTTGCATGTATTAGGTTGACCGAGAAAATTGCAAAAAATATCTCACATGTATATCATTATTATTTTTGTCATGTATTTATCTCGCTGGAAAAATATATCCTACATATTTGCAAAAGTCGCTATTTATGTCTTTTTCCGTGCGTGGCATTCACACCACGCGCAACCAAAGGATAGAAATAGCAACTTTTACAAACATGTAGGATATTTTTTACCGACGAAATAAATATAGGGCAAAAGTGATAATTGAGTATACGTGTGAGATATTTTTTGCAATTTTCCAGGTTGACATGTCCCTTGTTTTTATCAATTTGTAATTCAGGACTTTTTAGGTTTTGGTTTGAGTTTTTTATTTAACTTTTTGCTTAAATAGTTTTTTATTTTATGTTTTGCAAGAGGAAATAGTATAGTGTTGCTCGGGGCCGAAACCAAACAAACCCTCAATTTAGTCTTTGTTTTTAGGTTAGTATATCCTCCTCACTTTCCTTGTGCGAAGCTAACTATAAAAACAAAAATGCTAGTCTATAAACACTTAGCAGAAGTCGTGCCATATTGAATGCAACACTTGGCTCGCCATTGCTTTCCAAATTATTACTACATCTTGATCATTTGCCCTTGCAACGTTAGAAAAAGACAAGTACCAAAATCACTGGGAGATAAGATGTAACAACAACTAATCTTAGAAAGGGAAACACTAGATTCAGCTAGAATTAGAGCATGTGTGATACATGCAGTGCTCTTCCCGATCTTTGTTTTTATTAACTATTTGAATGCAGACTTTGCAATCATCAACACCTTTTAGAATGTATGCTTAAGCTTTACACTAACTCCTGATCCAATCTATAGAGTTCATGTCATAGTTGTCAATAGCGCACTATAGCGGCGTAGCGTAGCGGAAAGAAACTCTGTCGGCCGCCCCGCAATTCTGCGTTTACGCAATAGCGGTGTAGCGGCCTATAGCGACACTCCGCTACGTTACGCTATGCCGCTATTATAGCTTATTGAATTATTTTTTAATACGTAAATAATTGAAATCTAATTTTAACTTATAAAATGTATTTTTTTAATTATAATATAGACAAAAAAAAAAAATATTTATCTTAAATCTTAACTAAGTTTTTAGATTCATTTCGAGAAAAGAAACAAATTAGAAAACCAAAAGTTGCAAGATTTGATTTATATCAAGTATAACAAAAATTTGTTAGATCATTATGGTAGCAATGATGTGCTTGGTTCTATTGTTTTGAATGATTCCAGCGAGTGGTTAATTAAAGAAGTTGATAATTGTGGAGGATAAGTTAGTCTTTGACAATGATAATTTGACTAGAGAAGTTGTTGTTGATGTTAATAGGTTTGCTCTCTATACTAAGATACAAACGTCAATACATCAATGAGAAAGAAAGCTATAGGTACTTCTAACTCTAAAAAGGGAAATTATATTATATAAGATGACGAACATACAATTGAATAAATGAATTAAAATGAAGAAGAGGAGAAAAAATATATTGACAAAAGTAATTAAGCAATGAGGATGATGAAAATGAGGAAGAAATTTTTTTATCAGATTTTAAATTTGATTAGCTTTGATATATATCTATCACACAATAGTGATCTAATTGTTTTTGCTTATATAAGTATCTAATAGTTATGATCATATATATTGACATTTTATTGGTTTGGGTGATAATTATGAAATTAATTTATAAGTTTTTCTTATGTATTTTTGTTATAATTTTGTATATATAATAATTTTTATATATATTCTTAAATATTTAAATAGCGGTCATACCGCTATCCGCTATCTCGCTATAGCATTTTAGATGTTGACCGCTATGCACCGCTATCCGTGATTGACAACTATGGTTCATGTTTGAATCCACATAGGTGCACTCACGCTCATGCATATAAAAGTGGCAGATGAACCTAAAAGCTAAAACAATTGCGTCCGGATAATGTGATCATAAAATATTGGTACTTCAGCCTCGAGACATTAGATGATGGTTCTAATAATTAATTTTGGAGCATAAAACAGTATGTGAAATGTGAGCAAGAGAGCCTTTTCTGAAGAAATCTTTACAAACAAATATGGAAGGATTGATTTCACACGATTCATCTTTTCATATGAAATTGCTGCATCGACATTGATTTACCATTGCATTTCTCCATATAGCAAATATTGATGTCTGAAAATGAAATAAATAAAAACGGGCTCAAGTTTATCAGCCCATCAAATCGCAAGGTATTCATTGTGATTGAATCTCAACAGAGAACATCCATATGCACAAAAGAATATTAATGTAGCATAGGAAGATAATGGAACTTACTTCAGTTTTGCCTTATCCATCCATAGATGCACCAGCCTTTGTGTCACCAACCTATTTTTGACCTTCGTCATTGCCAACAGATCCACCCTATCCTTTTCCTCCTAAAAGATTTATCAGGAACTCAATTACCTCTTTTCTGATTCACTTAATCTTGTAAAAAAGGAAAAATCAAGAAAACCAGATTCTTAATACAAGTGGTCATAAACAATTGTAAAACCTTTCAAACAATTCAAGTCATTCTGGCTTGAGCAAGATAACAATTTACGGTTCATGTCCACATATAAGGGTAAAAGAAAATCCTCCAACACAATGTTAAAATTTCCTTAAAAAAGCTCAGTGTTTGCAACAAAAATTATACTCCTTCTATCCGCGAAAGTTATGCTTACTTTCCATTTAAATATATCCGCCAAACTTATGCTTATATCCACTTAAATAGTACCCTTACTTTTAACACATAATGTAACTTTGAGACTATCATAAATCGTGGATGCACTACCAAAACACATTCCCAGTAAATTCCTCAAAATACCCCACATAACTTTATAAATACTAACTTTTTCTTAATCTCTATTGGGGGCCAAATAAGCATAAGAATCACAGATGGAGGGAGTAATAAGCAAAAATCGAAAGATCACACGCACATCATCATTATGCTAAACTACTGTTAGAGTATTCGTATAAAATCAATGTATACAAGATGCTGTTGGGAATGAAATTATCGAAAAGAGCACACTACAATGCCCACATAATATCAATTGGTGAAATGATGGATAGAGCACTCGTATAGACAATGAGTAGACATTAAGTTTGTTACCATTTCCCGTCACATTGCACATATATTAGAGAGCCATTAATTCCACAATACTCTTATCACCAGGATGGCAAAGAAGTTTTTATCAGTACTATCTAACCTTTAGCTTCACATCTAAACAACATTCCGTCTTTAATATCCTAACAATTTACAATCATTAAAGATTAGTTCATAGGGGTGACTTTCTAAGCAAATAAAAGGCAAATTCACAACAAAAAATACACAATCACAGCCCCACCTAATTAATTGTACTACAATTCCACATTAGGCATTTATCTACAACAAATTACACAAACAGATGCGAAATCGATCCTTGTGACATTACAAGCAAATAAAAGGTAAATACACTAAACTAAAATCCACCAACCATAGCCGGTAGACCCAACTAGTTAATTGTGCTGCAGCTCCACAGTAGGAATTTATCTACAACAAAATACATCGAAACTAATGAGAAGTTGATCATTGTAATCACTTTTTTCCTCTTGAAAAGTATGATCATATGCCCAAGTTCCAAATTTTCCTTCCGAAAAAGAATGGATTCCTGGTCAATTCTACACCACCCAAATTTCATCATTTTCCATGACTGAAATGATATTGAAATCAACGACAACAACTTCTACGCAGCATAACTACTATTGATAAATCAAAATTATAATATACCCTTAAGCCTGGCAGTATTTGAAGCCACATGAGAAAACCACACACACACACACACACATAACATATATATATATATTTGCGCCATTGTATTTCAAAGCAGTACCTTTGTTAAAATGATGGAAACTCCATTCAGACGGCAACAGCTCTGCCCTTTCCTTTAGTCTGAAGAAACTCGGCAAGTTCAAATATTTGGTCTTGCATTCCACGAAGTGAGTGAGAGTGAAAGCTCTGCACAACAAACCAACTTACCGCCGTAAAGCGGCTTTCAAATAGCAACTGAGATGAAGGTTACTACAGATAAGATGCCGAGAGGTTTTGGGCGCGTATTTCTTTTTGTTTTTTTAACCCCAGAAGTATATCACATGTAGGGATTTGGGCTTAAGCAACTTTTTTTGGTCGTTTTGGGTATGGTTTTGTGTTCTATTTTGGATTTTAGGTTTAAAGTTTAAAATAAAATAATATTTTGATATAAAATTTTATAATTTAAAAATAAAAAATGTATTTTAATGGAAAGTAAACAATTTTTTTTATGCAATATGAAAAAAGTATAGATATTTAAAAATTATAATAATTATTGTTTTAAATTCTTCATTCCAAAATAAAATATTTATTGTACTTATTTGTTTCTATCTAAATATTTTTTGTATGTGAATACATAGTCCAATTATAAAATAATTATTTTATTAAATACTTTATTTTTTTATAAATATTTCTATTTTAATATTATATCAATACTATTATGCAAAAATCAAGAACAAAATTATCTAACCTGTCCCGGTAAGAGATGGGAGGTTATGAGCTCACAATTGTTTTACCTGCCAAACATAATTGATCTAATAATTTACAGACTATTAAGTTCGACCGAAAATTTAGGCAATTTCGATAGCCCACATTGTAATAAAAATAAAAATAATAAAATAAAATTGTCTACACTACATTTAAATACTCATACCCATAACTGTATATTGAAATTTCTTGGATCTTAAAAATTACAAAAAAAAAAATATCATTAAGGTCCACAGCAAAGGTTAGTAGAAGGGTAAACTACTACAACTTTATTACAAAGCTAGCAGCAATGCTAAGTCGAAAACGACGCCAACGCCAACGACGCCAGCCGGGATCAGTGGCGGCTAATATGCGACAATTCACCGCTCATAACACAACCCCCGCATCATAATCATCATCTAAGCTAGTAAATTAAGAGAGACACCATCACAAGCAAATTTTATCTACATACCAAGGAAATCTCGGATTCCCCGGTCAAGATTCCGGTTGCTCGGTTTTCACGGGTGTGGGTGGGTGCGATGCTGTCGAGCAGTTACCGTTCTGGATGTAGAGGCTGTTGGCGACCATCGAGTCTGTTACCAAGCCGACATCGACGTCGTCGAAGTTGAGGGTTCCTCGGAGCTTCCGGGTTCTGAAAAATGCATGAGGTCGGTTAGTGTTGGAATGGATCAACGATCGAAAGAGTAGATTGGCAGGAGAATTTGAAATGTACCCGTTTAGGCGGTTGTTGATTGCAGTCAGGTCTTTGGAAGGGCTCTGGTAGGCGTGAGTGCTTTCGCCCACGCAGGCGTAGTAGCTTTTAGAGCTGTGAGAGATTAGTGCATCCATCTGTGGAACAAAGGAGAAATTATCTATAATTTAAAGAAAACAGTAACACGTCAGGAGGGGGTTGAATGACCGATTTATTTAGAATCTACTTGTGAAATTAGGGCATTCTTTTTCGAGCCGAATCCAAGTAAATTTCTCAATTTAAATATACTTAACAAATATAAATCAATTTAATTAAATTTTCCGCACGACTTAACTACTTTATTTCTATTTCTATTCTCAATTAATAAATAAATTTATTCATCTTTAAAATTCCTTATTCTTTTGTAAAACTAATTTATGGTAATAATAAATAAATAAATATACTATTTCCGTAACATTTGTACAAAAATTATAAAGATATAAAAATATTTTTAATATTAAATACGCAAATAATAAATGGATAACTTATTATGAGATGAAGTATTTTTTATTTATTTGTATTATATAAATGATATTCGTATATATTTTATTGAAATATAATGTTAAAAATATTTAAACACACATTATTAAATGACTAATTTATACTATCTAAATAATTAATCTATACTCTCTAAATTCTCGTGTCCAAATAAAAGGCTTCATCTTAGTTGGGACGGAGGGAGTAAGCAATTTCTCTCATAAAACATCGCAACTATTTAAACATAATATGCAAATACAAAATAGGTTGATACCTTGGATGATCGCAGAGGAGAGACATAAACATTATGCGCTGCCGAAACTTTCTTCGGGGACATGTCCGGAAGACTCGGGAATGGCGAAGTTTTGGGTGACGGCGAGCACGGACCTAATTGGACAGGAATCAAACGACGTAAAGAAAAGAATATTTTTTGTTCATCTACTTATAGATCCATTGACAATACTCACCATCGTTGCTATTCCTAGACTCCGGGTCTTGAGAATTACTCTGTAACGATCCACCAGGAGCGAGCTCAATCAGAAGTGGCTTCACCGCACGAACAAAGACCTCATTGTAGAATGTAATGATGTCAACATGATCCGGACCAGTTTTCTGTTCGAAACAATTCAGATGTTCAGAGATGCAACGTACCCCTAAAGGAGATTTAAGGAAAAGAGTGGCGTACCGCATTGTAACGGGAACCTGCCCGATCAAGATAGACGCTCCGAAAGACTTGTAGTTTGCAATGAGGTTGCTTTCTGTAGTTGAAAATGATTTCTTTGAATGTCAGGTTCAACTGGGAAATCTGCAAGAACAAATATGGTGTAAGAACATAGCGAGCATATATATAGCAGCCCAAAAATGATCGAGAAAGTGAGGGCAGACCTTAGAAACTCCATAGAAACAGCAGAGAATAATTTGATCGATATGTCGATTGAAGAACAGGGTTGTCTGCTGGCTAAGAATCTTTTGGAAAAGAGAGTAAACAGACTCTCTTATATTCTGGGAGAGCTGTAGCCGTTCAACCATGCCATTGATTCTGACAGCGGCTAACTTAACAATCTACACAGATTCGAAGGATTAGACTTATTAACCCAAACTAAGAAGCAACATCAGATTATTAATAGAACACGAAGAATGCTGGGCGGAAAAGTACTCATCATTTTGACTTAGTTATAAAAATACAAGACAAGTTATATAACAAATCAATTACGTTCATATTTACTCATCATTTTCACAAAAACAAAACACATACTACAAAACTATGTACATCTTCAAAACTATGTTTGCCAAGAACTAAAAAGAAGATTATACATAATACAAAAACAGATATTTTCTACAAGAGAGGATTAAAGGAAAAATATTAGAATCATATCCAGAAATAGGGAAGACGCTAAAAAATAAAAATGGAAATAAAATGGCCCCAAGGCCAAAAAAAAAAGTTCTTTTTAAAAAGGTAGTAAAGATTGTTGCATAGGTACGCTGTTCCACTTCATCACACCACAATTAGATCATAATGAAAATAGAGGAGCTGATTGGAATTGTCTAAGCAATTCACGTACGGAAAAAAGAGGGAAATACACATTTACTAGCAATAACCCCAAAATAGTTATTCACCACAGTCTAAGGCTTTGTTTCTCTTTATAATTTTTTCAATTTTTTTACTATTCAAACTCTCAATAAAAATACATTATTTCCTACATAATATCAAAATTCTATTTAAACCAAAACTCAAATCCATCATACAAAAAGTTGTTCAAAGAAACACACCCTAAGGCATTTATTCTATAGTGAGATTCACCTAAGCATCACATGTTTGCCTGAGTGCTTGTGTACATTAACTATCATAGCGATTTGTATACCTTGCTGAAAAACACATTAATTGATGTCTCTGCGCATGTTTCCCCGCCACCGCCAGGATTTGGTCTTGTAGGACTGAAAAAACGAGGATAAAGAGAGAAGTGAATAAGAAGCTGCATGTAAATGGCGCATTGACAACAAAAATTAGACAGATCTTCCTACTTCTAGAGCTTTCCGTGCAAGTACCTGGCAAAAGCAGACTGTAAAACAGGTGGAAACTTAGATTTCAGATTGTTCAGGACCAAAAGCCTGTCCTTCACAGGGGAAGTGAAGGAATTCCTCTCTACTAATGCACTTCGATACTCAGGGCATATTCTTTTTGGTGATCGAATATCTCCATTTTGACCTGAACATTGTTTTGAATCAACCAGTGAGAAATAATATTTTACATATTAAAGCACTAATTATTATAGCTTCAGGCCTAAAACTCATATAAATACATTACCCTGCTTTTCTAGCTTCAGCTGTGCTGGCGGTAAGATGCCGCACGACATATTATTGTGCAACGCAATTGCATCCAAAGATGGCATTGGTTCAGCAACTAGTCCAAAGCGATTTATCTCTGCAGAGAGGGCAGGTTTTGCTACAATCAAGGAGTTGTACATTGAAGAGCCTTTTTCCCAAACCAAGCTCTCCAGTAGTCGTTCTTCCAGTGAATTTAAATGCCTCCTGAGCTCCCTTGGGAGACTTTCTTCATGTCGTATGAAGCTCTCTATCACCTTACTAAGATCAAATGCTGTTATTCCAGTTCTCTCTAGTACGGTCGGAAACAACATTGTCACAGTTTTATGAGTGGCGAGAACCAATTCAGCAGAACATGCAAGCATACATCTGTGAAATCTCTCATTGGTAAGCAAAGATGTTAAGTTGTTCGCTTGCAAAATCTGGGACTCGGCAATGCACATTGCTAGCAGAACCCTGTAGTAAAGCTTCATTGCTTCCATGCGACGCTGTTCAGCCCATATATTATCCATCAAGCTTGCATTCTGTCCTGGACCACTGCTCGGAAATATAGCCTCAAGTATTATTTGAGTCCGCCTTGTGACATCAGAAGTTATATCCCTGTCACATGATGACAGAAATCTTTCCAGCTCTACTGAAGGTTTAGATGGAAGGGGAGCTATAATTGTTCGAAGCCATTTTGCAGTGGTCATTGCTGTGCTGACAGGAGTAGCTGCAATCTTGGACATACCACTAATGGAGACGCCGTTTGAAAGCCGTCCAGGAGAGCGATAAGGAGACAATGGGCTCATAATAGTCTTCGTTGGGGAGGAAATAGCATCAAGTTTTCTCTGAAGCATTAGAAACATAACAGAAAACATTATAGCAACAAAAAGTTGTACATTCTCGAAAATCATTAGATTGAACTAAAACCAACCTTAACTCCATTTCCGTTCATATTTACAGAACCAACAGACAAAGTTCCTGGAGCTAGCAAGCTGTCATTCTCATTGATAAAAATCCTCTCGTCCAATTCACCCTTGTGGATTGCAGCATCATAATCCTTTTCTAGTAGACTAATACTTGATGAGAAAGATGATGCATCCATTAATTTTTCAAAATAGACCAAACCATCTGCACAAGGACATAATGATAAATACGTTAAATTATAATATTAAAAAATGAAACGATAAACTCAACATTATAATATAATACAAACTAACCTGTTACAATATCTTTCAAGTTTTCTGGCTGAAATTCAGAAGCTAAGCAAGGTTTCTTCTTCAATATATCAGTAATCAAATCATTTGCTTTCTCTAAAGTTTTCTTTAGCTCATCTTCAGATGTTTCATACATATTGCAAAGTGATGCTATGAGGTCAGCCTTGTCACCTTTCATAACTGCAGAGCAAATAAAATGACTTGAAATTAGGATAAGGAAAAAATCAATGACCACATTTTTATTACTCCCTCCGTCCCAAACAAGGTGCAACATTTGCTTTTGACACGGGTTTTTAGGTGGATAATATTAAGTAGAATAATTTAGAAATTAGGTGATGTGATGGAGGGAGAAATATATATTTTATTTTTTTATTTGGATGGTGTGCGGGGATAAAATGTGGGGAAGAGATTAAGTATAATTAATTATTTTCTGTTTTTGGAAATGTTGCAGGGTGTTTGGGGCATACCAAAAAAAAAATATTGCAGGGTGTTTGGAATGGAGGGAGTATTATTTATTGATTAAGAATCAACATTTACCAATTTTTTCAGAGTCATTAACATTAAAATTTCTGAAGCTTGCTGGGACATGTATAAGGAGAACTGCCTGCAAAAAGTTAATAAAAATGTGGTTACTAGTTATTATTTTACACAAATTAAAGATTTACAGAACAAGTATATAAATAAAATCTCTTTCATCTATAATAGACTATCGTAGTAGAATTGCAAGGTAAAAAATCAGATACTCGTACACTAAAAAATACAATTATACTGACCAATACAGAAACCAAGCCATGAGTGCATGTCACCAGGTCCTTGCAAAGATGGAACACATGCACACGAAGAGCCAGAAATAGTAACCATCCAAAACGGAAATAGTCTGATCCATGCTTCCCAGTATTGTCAACATTAAAACAAATGTTGTTATGAGCCTCAGCCACGGTGAAAAGTTCCCTAAATGCACGCTCATATTTCCTGGAAACAGAGATAAACAAGAATATAATCAGGGCTTGAATGTCAGGTCAAAGCATAATTCATTGTGAAACAAATTACTAATTTAAACTACAAATAGTTGCTAGCTACAACACTAGAAACATTGGCAAAATAAATGACAAACATTCGCTCTCTCCAAGGTGTGGATGGAGTTTGCAGATGAATAACATGATATTAAACTCTGATTATTTGGAACTGGACAAATAATTAATGATATTCCTTAGCTCATCCACATGCATCACTTACTGTATGGCAAATAGTTAGAGGCCAAGTCACTGTGACAATTTTGTTATATAAGCAGATTTACCATAGAAAATACATACTGTTGCAGTTAGATGAAAATTTTAAAAGATGAAAATAAAATGGGGGGAAAATTCAACAATTCATCAGTTGTATCGATGAAGAGCTCATGATAAATTATAACTTGGATGAGTTCAGAATCCATGAAGCTGCTTCTGAATGTCAAAGGTCAGTAATGCTTTAAGATACACAATTGGCATATAAAAAAGTTAGAAACAAGGAATAGGAAGATCAATTTAAGTACCTTGGATTTATATACTTGGAAGAAAAGGAGTGTGATTCAATTAACAACTAACAAAGATGAAATATCGCCATCTACATTTAGATAAAAGCCCAAAGCACATAAGGTATACTCACTTGCTCAAAAGGGTCAAATGTATAAAGTTGGTTTGGGATTCCTTTGCCTATACACAGAATTAGAATAAAGAGATAAGGTGAAAGATGCTAAAAAATGGTTTATTCTGTTAAACTGAATAGATAAAACTCGTATTGCTCAAGCACCTCAAGCCTCTTCTCCCAGTCAATACCATAAATGCTACTCAATATTGACCCAACCTTGATCAGAAATTGATGAAGTTCTTTATAGAAATCAGAGATGCTGCAAGGAAAAAATGACAAAATTCTAATAAATCAACGATTAAAGTTCAACAAAAAACTTAAAGCAAAGCAGGGAAAAAGCAATATACTTAAGCTCTGCAGCTCGCAGAATCTGGCATAAAGTCAGTCCTTTTTCTTTCAGGCCACCACTCACGTTGAGTTGTCTTACTGAGTAGAGAACAAAAGAGAACCAATACCGTTCTGCTTCATCCGGCTAATAGAACAAAAATATGTTAAGCATTTATTGACTAAGTATAAACATCAAGTCACGTCTAAGCATTCAAATAATATGGTAACAATCAATAAACTACGAGCGAGCTACGGAAATATCAGCAAATGAAAAGCAGTATAAATAGGTGGATGTTGCAAACAACATACAGTTCCAGTTCCAATAGCAGAGATGTTAGCCTGCAGAAGATTCTTGGTCTGGCATAACAACTTTGTCGCTTCCCCCAAAACATTGTCGTCGTCCAACCGAAGATCATTCTGATTAATACATGGGGATGAAAACCAATTCAACGGCCAACGGGAACACAAAAATCTAAGAACCTTAAATAAACAATGACAAAAAGGAAATGCATACTAAAATACCCAAAGCAATTAATTGCAGCAGAGACAAAGAACATGAAACAGCTAAGGGAAACAACAACACTCTTGAACAACGAAATTCAGAGGACAAATTTGAAGACAGTCAATTCTCTCAAGGCACAGAGTTATTATCCACAAACAATTAAATAAAATTAAAAAACTCACAAACCACTGATTTACAACAGAAAATAAGAACACGTTAAAATTCAAAGCCACAGTACCACAAAGCCCCAAAAATTACAAGAAAAACCATAAACTAGCAGTGACGTAACAGAGAAATTTCTGAAAAACAAGAAACCAAAAGAGAGACCTTGCAAAAATTAGCAAATCGAGCTTCAATGGTTGCTCCGCCTCCATCTCCCAGAGGGCTTGAAACCTTCCTCAGCTCCGCCATGTATTCCAGATCTCCGATCTACTCAATCCACGGATCGAACAAAATTTTAGAAAAATTAAAAAAAAAAAAAAAAAAAATGTATACGCAATATTAAACAAAACCCTAGTCAGTCAATCAAGCAACCTTCAAAATGACAACAAAACCTAACAGCACGCCTCAGCTGAATTGCTACCGGTCGGAGAACAGCTGCACTGCCGCCGCGGCTGCTTCCTCTCCCCTTATCTCCTCTGCTGAAATGAACGGAGAAGAGAGAGAAAGAAAGGTAGATGAGAGCGAAACAGAGAGGCTGGGGTTGGGGGTTTTCTTTTTGGTATTTTTGTTATTTGGCATTTAAGAGGAAATAAAACCCTTTTAGCTCAGCCAGCGCGGGAAAACATGGCATCCTATGCTCCATGTCATGCCAGACATACATGTACATAGCCGACATACATACATAGGCACCCAATGTCCATCCGACACGTGTACGCTAGGTTAAGTTTGCCGCCAAAACCTCGCCCGTCCGACCTGTCAAAAGATTTTTTTTTTTCTTTTTTTTTTTTTCTTCAACAAACAATAGAAAATTCCAGAAGAAGAACAAATCGCCGTATCCCAAACACCCGGCCAATTCCAATCTAAAAATGATACTCCTCGTATCAATTTAATTAACACATTTTTTATTTTTTTATAACAATTAATATTCTTTAAATTTTTTTAAATTATTAAATTAAAATATATTTAACAAATATAAATCAACATAATTAATAATATATAACATAAAAGTCGCTCGAAATTTTTATTTCTATCTTTCCTCATAAAATAAATATTTTTATTTATCTTTAAAATTTCATTTTTTTTTACAAAATTGTTTAGATTAATTATAAATAATATAAATATATTTTTTTATTTACTTATATTATAAAAAAAAAAATTTATAAAATGATACACATATTAGATATATTTTTAATTGCAATATAATTTTTAAAATATTTAAATACATATTCTAATTTTTTTAATTATATATATATTTAATTTATTTTAAAACTATATTGTTAATTACATAATAAATAATAAAATAATATTATAATTCATTATTATTAATTAATTAAATATTATTGTTTTAAATACCTTATCACTAATAAAAGATATCAGCGAAGGGAGGAAAAGAAGGGTGTAAAAAATTTATTTTATAATATATATATTATATTAAAATTATTTATATCAAATAGAAAATTTATTTAAAAATCTAAATTCAAAATTTTAATCTAGAAAGGAACATACTAATAATGCTAGTGAGTGGATTATGTAATCTGATGTAATTTTCTATGAAAAGTAAGTAAATGAAGGTCTGATTATCAGCTGATTTAGTTGATTAAATTTAGTAAATTGTTATAAATTTTTGCAATACTAACTGCTATTATTAAATTTTTAAATAAAAAATGTGACATTGGAAGATTTTCATAATAACTATTATTATTATTACTTTTTTATTATTTTTATTTACAGAGAACCGTTCAAATGTTATAACTAACTCCAACTATATATAAATGAACGAAACCGCACGGAAATCGCTTCAACCATTTTCAGTTTTCCCAAACTTCCAACCAAAACTGCGTATATAATCCGATCGCATTTCCCTCGCTCTCGACCGTTCCAGGATATATCGTCACTCGATTTTGAATTTTCGAACGATTCGAGTTGCAGAAATGGCGTTCAATGCTCTGGTGAGTACGTGCAGATTGATGTGTGATTTCAATTTTTTTTGATGAATTGTGTAGAAAACTAACTGAATCGATTGATTTGATTATTTCTGATGCAGAAGCAAAGGAGATCTGCGATGTACGTTCATTTGCGGAGTCTGACGTCAACCGCACCTACGAGGATGGCTTCTCAGGGCGGCGCCACCGGCGCGATCCGCCAAACGAAGCAGGAAGGCGATAAGTTGAAAGGCCTGGCGGCGAAGTACGGTCCGATGTGGGCGGTGCTCGGAATAATAGGCGGATTGGTTGGCGCCGCTGGCTGCATCGCTATCCACACCGCGAAGCAGCAGCTGTTCCATTCGCCGTCGGTTCAGGTGACGAAGCAGAAGCGAGAGTGCATTCCGGAGGTGGATAATCCCGACGCGGTGATAAAATCGGCCAGTAAATTCGAGAACAAGTCGTTCCTACGGAAAATCGCGCACATCCAGGGCAAGGAGAGCATTCCTCACAGTCGACGTCCGCAAAATCGGTACGCGATTGCAGTTATTAGTTAATCACCACCACGACAATCGCGAAGAACAATTTCGATGTTCGATTCAAATTCAAGCAACAGGTTGTTTGAATGTGCGCTCCTCCTGCAGGGAAACTGAAACATTAAAATCAATCGGAATCAACAAATGAAACGGCGAATCGTTGGAGCATCAGATCACGATCCGTGGAGAAACGCATCCAGATCAACAATAAACAGAATAATCACCGTACCAGGTAAACCGCTCTGCCATTTTTGAATACATTGCAGCAGTGAGGTTCCTTTCCCTGTTTGAATAAGTTAGCTTTTGCTGTTTTCATATTAAATGTATGTATATAGACTATAGTCACTTTGTAAATCAAATAATATGCAAACTGAACTATTGTTTTTGTATTCTTGATTGTGTATCTATACATTACCATGTGTACTCATTTTGGATCAAATTCCTCTTTACCAATGTACCAATTTCAAAACACGTGTGTTCGGTTTTATACTTTTATTTATCATTTCTGAATTGAAAATTTAGCTAATTGATGTTTGCACACATTAATATCTATACTCTCTTTACAGTTATTTTAAGTTAGTAGGGAGAAAATAATGATAAAATATATATTACATATTTTGTTAATAGGTATATATTTTATATATTTTTATTATTATTATTATTATTTTTTGTAAATCTTCTGTCGAATTTAATATCCTTTCAAATTAGGTTTGATAACTCTTTATTTGTTCATTAATTTTTACTTAACATCATTCTTTATATATATTATTTTACAAAAATCAATATTACAAAAAATAAAAAATAAATAAACCCTTAAATTAAAAACACTAGACAAACACTCGTTATACTGTAATATAACAAGTTTATTGACAAGATTGTCATTTTTTTAATTATTATATATTACTATTGATGCCGATTTTCAACGATAAAAAGTAAAATTCGAAATTAGAAATTATTTTCGAATTTGATAAAATAAATGTTTGAAATTAAGAATCTCTAAACACTAAACACTGTACAATACATAAATAAACTAGGAAAATAAACTATTACAAAGTGTAAAAGTAAATGGTGATCACCAAGAGAAGTTCCAGATGTTTTTGCCAGTTGCGAACCCCCTCTTTAAATATTCCCAGAAGAAACGTTTTGAAACCGTCGTATGTTCGATTACAGCAACCGTCGTCAACCGCCCACTAAATCCTCCTCAATTGACACGTGTCTTAACCGTCTCGCCAACCGCTCCTGCCAATTACAGGACTTAACCGGCTCGACCGACCGACCAATCCAGATACTAACTGGTCGCTAGACCAAAAGACTCATTGGTCGCCAAATCAGGCGACCACCATTCAGTCCCTTCAAAATGGTTGAATAACCATTTGTCTAGACGGATTCATTGGTCGCCCAATCAAGCGACCAACCGACCCCCCTCTCAAGCGACTGAACTACTATTTGACCAAATGACCGGCCAATCTACCAGGCGATTAACACGTCGCTTAATTAAGCGACCAATTAACAGATTTTTCTTCGCCCGACCAATTAACAGACCTTTCCTTTCGTCCGACCTCCTTTTGATCGACCTCCGTGTCGGCCGTCTCATCCTTCTTCACCCAACTTTATCCTGTCCGACCTCCATGTCTGTCGATACTTCTTCTTTGCCCGACTTTATCTTGTCCAACCTCCGTGTCTGCCGATATATTTGCCCGACATCCTTTTTTGACCGACCTCCGCATCAGACCCCTTGGACTACACATCAATCTGATTTTATAAGCCCAATACATTATTATTATTATTATTATTATTATTTGTACTCAACAATTACAATAACAATTACAATAAATACTTGATCGCCATTCAAAATTATTGTATATGAACTTGTAGGGTAAATTTGTAATATTGTAAAGTATTGTTGTTTAGTTATTTGATTTACTTATTTCATTTAAATTATAAAGAATTATGTTGATAATATAAAGATTCACTTTTAAAAGATAGATAAAATATATACGGACAATCTTAAGTGAATAAACTTATTGTTAATTGAATTTTAATTAAATATACTTTTAAATACTTTTTAGTATACACTTTAAAATCCAAAATATATTCAAAAATTACACTTTTGCACACTATCCATTGCAATACAAAAATGAAATAGAACCAATGCAAAATTATTGAAAAAAAAAAACCAACATATTGTCATTTTATATAATAAACAAATTTATTCACAATATATATACACACATTTATTTTATATAATTAGCAAATTTATGCACAATATATATATATACACACATTTACATATACATATAAAGTCAATGACGGAGGAGGAAAGCCCACCAACATATAGTTTAAGAACTCAAACAAAGCCCATCAACAATAATTGAATTGGTCCAAGGGACGAACCTATGTCCATACGGCTACAAATTCAAAGTGACATTCTTTTAATATGGTCATCGACACCATATGCTTACTTAGTACTAAGATCATCTCCAATCATGCTCCATATCTGGCGTTTCAATACCATTTTTGCCGCTAAGCTATTCCAATCCAGCCCATTCCCAGCACCAAATTTAGAGTTTGCTACAGTGCAACACCTAAAAAGGTGTTGCACTGTAGTAAACGCTATTTTTTTTTATTATTATTTTTTAAAATTATAAATTTAATTTTTATTTTTTGTAATTTTTATAAATTTTATTTTAAATTATAAAAATAAAAAGTTGTTTAAAATAATAGAAAAAATTGAATATTTGAAGAATAAAAGTAAACAATGGAGTTATTGTTGGAGTAAAATTACTGTAGCAACTGCATATTTGGAGTTAAAACTGGATAAATGGAGATGATGGGTTGGAGATGGCCTAAGATGCAACATTTGCTTTTGACACGAGTTTTTAAATGAGTAGTATTAAGTATGATAATTTAGAAATTAGGTGATGTGACAAAGAGAGAAATATAATTTTATTTTTTTATTTAAATTATATGAGGGGATAAAGTGTGAGGTAAATATTAAATATAATTAATTATTTCCTATTTTGAAAATGTTACAGAGTGTTTGAGACATACCAAAAAAGAAATGTTGTAGGATGTCTGAGATGAAGGGAGTATGTCTTTTATCTTACTAACATAATTTGCAAATTATTGAGCTCAATCAAAATTCATACGAAGGTTTGGATTTTGGATTGATATTTAAATAGTAAATAAATTGAATTGGAATAGTGGTATGATATGATATAAATAAGTATTGATGTAATACTTTTTAATGTAAATTTGATTTTTAGTATAATATAAAAAATAAAAAATAAATATTTGATTCGATATTTTTGAAGAAAATTTTGATATGAATAGTGGAAGTCCTCCAAACAAACAGCTTGAAGTTGTAGCAAGTTGTAATTTGATAGCTCTCTCACAAATCACCAAATTAATCTTCCTTTCCTATGGCATTTTTAAGCTTAGCAGATCCTTCAACTACAATAATCAAATTCCACGGCTCATCCCCACACTTTTTTTCTACACACACAAAATTCAATTTTCCTGCCAATTCCAACCGCAAGAACGTCGGTCGATTGATTGATCGATCGAACGGGGGAGGTTTTACGATGGAGAAAACGTGCGACAGTTAAAAAAAAACTCGATTCAAACACATAAGAGCTTCGTAAAATCAAAATTACCTGGAATCGAATCGAACGCAATCCGTTGCGCCAAACATTGTCGACGTTCCTTTCCTTCGACTAACTTACCTCATCCCGTCGACTTCATTACAAAGCTCGTCTGAAACAATCGATGCCACATCATCCTAGACTCAAATCCTTCAAACCTCCTCGACAGCTCGTTCTTGTTGATCCCGTGTCGCTACATCCTCGTCGAAACTGTCCTGGCTTTCCATCTCCGCGTCGTCGAAGTTCATCAGCAACGACGGGGGAGCGGTCGGGTCAGATTGAACCATCTCCCGGAAGTTGTTCCGCGACGGAGGAATTCCAGCGCAAAACACTTCCTTAAAATTTCGCGAGCATCCCATGTTGTAAGGATTCGACCTGCGCTCGTATTGATACCGGAAGTTTTCGTATGTCGTCTGCAGCGACGCGGAGATTATAAGATATCGAAAAACGGGAATCATTCGAACAGGGAACGGGGAACGGGGACGAGACCTGGTTCGTCGAAATTAAGTAGAGATGGAATACTGTGAGGCCTCCGACGAACCAGCAGACCACAAACGAATACAGCACGAGAATCCCGGACACTGGTGAACGTCGGATGGCTTGCCACATGTTACAATCCGCACCGTCGGCGATCCTCTTGATGTTCACCGAGCAAGAAACTAGAATGTACAATCCTAGCAAGCTCGTCGAAGAAACGAACATGAAGAAGCTCCGGTAATTTCTCTGCGATGGATCGAGCAAGAGAAGATTCGCGGTTAGTTGTACATTGTTAGCGAAAGCTTCGTGTAAAAATATACTCTCTACATCGTTCAAATCTTTGCTCAAACTTTTAAACATCCTATTTGAAATGTTCTCATTTTTCTTTTTGGTCCGTCCCAAAAGAAGATTATTATTTGTACTACCTATTTAACATAATAAATACCCTTCAAACTTGCACTATATTAACTACAATCCATTATAATACTAATATTAAAAAATATACGTGCAAAAAGTAAACGACAACCTTGCACCGTGCACCGGAACGGAGGGAGTACTATGAGTGTATACTTTTTATTAATTTTAATTTTTTATAGTAAAAAATATTTGTTCCGTTCCAATTCAAAATATCATTTTTTACTATTTTCATCTGTCACATTTCAAAGTACTCATTTTCCATTTTAATAAAAATAATCAAACACTAACACCAAAATAATCTTGACTTTTACCTAAATTACAAACATATCGTTACATATACGATCACTTAAAATCAAATGACAAAAATATCAAAATCTCTTGCCTAATTTGCTAACGAGTATAAAAAAATAGTATTCCTTTCACCAGCCAAACTTATATTACTATTTTTTTTATTACTATATGTTAAATTTATATATAATTCATTCATAATAAACAATTTTATCTATTTATATTTTTATTATTCTTATTTTAACAATAATAATCAAATTTTCATTTACTATTTTTACTAATTGCATTAGATTTTATTAATTTTTAATAATTTTTTTATAATACCTCTCTGTATTTATTTCATTTTTATATTAAAATATTATTATTTTTCGTAAAAATAAGTTTTAAAAAAAAAAGAGCAAAGAACACTTTTTTTTAAAGAAAAAAACAGACAAAAAAACAAAAATGAAGATAAATTTAGACGACAAAAAAGAGTATATTGAAAGCGGCACTAACCTTTCCGATACATTGGCCAACCCAAGGGCAATGATGATCGAACCTTTCGACGCAGTTATTGCAGATGGAGCAATGGGAGCAACGCGGAGGGCGGTACATGAGACATGTTTGGCAAAATTTAACCTTCACGAGTGTCCCGCGGATCGCAATGCTTTTCGTCAATGGAAATCGAGGCATGCGAGCGCTGCTCGCGGCGCTCGTCAGCGCCGTCGGGAAGTTGGAGACATCCGAATCGTCGGGGATGAAAGGAGGGTGGCGGTTTCGGGGGATGATTCCGGGATCTCTTCCGGAAGTGAGCAAAAGAAGAACAATGACCTGCTCGAGACAAAAAGAAAGGTTTCTTCGCTCAATATTTTTAAGTAGAACAATTCTTTAAAAGATACAATGGATATGGACATCAATAAAAGTTATATAATGTATATATTTTATTTATTTATAGAAAAATCAACAATTAAATTTAACATATTATTTTTTATATTATCAATACAATTTTTCGTATATAAAGATAAATATATAAATCTAAATGCAAAGAGTGAACAAACCAAAAAAAGTGGGATATACTGTTAATTAAAAAACTACTATGATTATGTTTCCTACACGTCTCACCTAAATAGTCGTTTTTATTTATAATCTATCCCGTGATTGCCGATTTATACTTACCAAAATATCATCCCACATTGTACATGAACATAACCGTTTTACTGATTTTTTTTTAACTAATATTATTATTTTTAATCTAATACAATTTTTTTCCCGAAACTATTTAGAGAGACCAAGCAATGTTTTCTATTCAAAATATACTACTGAATACATATCACAATTGTTTTTTGTAATTTTAAATTGAAAATATTTATTTTCACAATTTTTAATAAAAATATACTACTCTCTCCGTTCTGTTGAAATGTTACCATTTTCTATTTATGTCCGTCCCAAAAAACAAGGTTACCATTTCCTAATTTAGTAATTGTACTCAACTTAATAAATACCATTTCAACTTACAATATATTACACAAATGTCATTACTTTTATATTACACCATACTAATATGGGTATTTTTGTCTTTTTATTATAATCCAATATAATACTAATATTAAAAAATTTACGTGCAAAAAGCAAAGCCACCCTTCCAATGGGACGGAGGGAGTATTATTTTTTCTCACAAAAATATCATATCAACATGCTACTCCTTCCCTCTATCATAACTCAAAGTACATTTTTTTACTATTTTTGTTTTTCTCACTCAAAAGTATCATTTTTATTTTAGTAAAAGTAATTATACACTCATAAATTTATTTATTTTTTATCGAAAAAAATACCTTAACTTTTACTTAAACTACAAATATATTATTACACGTACAATTACTTTATATATAAAATCAAAAGCTAAATTGTCAAAACCTCTTGACACTTTTGGTAACTAATAAATATTATTATTTTTTAATCTATTACAAAACTATATTAATCCGAATAGGAGTTAGTATCTTTTAAAAGAAAAATAAAACAAACAAACATTGACTATATATTAGTGAAAGTTTCAACATTATCATCAATAGTAGTAACTTTTTAAATAAAAATAAAAAAACCACCAAAGTTGACTTACAATTTTTTTTTTTTCAAAAACTACCATTCAAATCGAAGCCCTAAAATTTCATTTGGATCATAAACGACAATATCAATGGAGGATAAAAGAAGAAGAAGAAGAACTCACGTATGCAGTCAACACAGCGGAGAAAGCAACGAGAAGATAGCCATGGCGGAATCCATCAATCAAACCTTCCGCAACAAACCACCAAAATAAGATCATCGGAAGCAGGATCAAACTCAATGTGAGGAACAGAGCTTTAACGTCCGGACCGAATATGAATCTGCCACCGCACAAGAATTTCTGCAACACAAAATCAAAAATCTCCATTACCAAAGCAAAAAGGAACCAAACAAACATAGCCGCCATACATACATTTCTTCCTTTCCAGACTTGATATATTCGCAACGGCGAGCCATTAGAACCGGCGACCTGTTCCCGCCGTGCGTTGGCGTCGGAAAAGCATTGAGAAGGCGGGGGAGACGACGCCATAGCCGAATCTCGTCTGTTTTTGATTTTTTTAACCTAAACAAACAAAAATTCCATCGATCGACTTCTCCCCCACGAACACAAATTCCTCCTCAGGAACACGCAGTCGGAACGGTCGACGAATCGGAAATCGGAGGAGATGTGAAGGAGGTTTTGCTGTTGTTGTTATATGTCTCCTCCGATCTGTCTGTTCCGTCGGATCTGCAGAAATGAATTCGGAGGGGAACCCGATCCGATCGGAACCCTAGGGAGGATGATATTTAGGTAAAAAGTAGTCGCGAATAGAAGGAAGAATAGTGAGGTCGAGAGAGAGAAGAGTGGACCGATTTGGAGAGGTACGTTCATCTCCCCCATCGTTTCCTTTCCTTCCCCTCCACATTTCCCGCGCCGCCATTGAAGCGATGGATCAAATTCAAAATGAAGTCACCCATTCTCAATTTCCCTAATTTTACAGGCTTCAAATCTTATGTGCCAATTTTCCTCTTCCGAATAAGATTTAAGTTTAAAAAGTTATACTTCTTCCCTTATTTATTTATCTATTTTTCATTGAATTTTAGAAATATCAGTATTATATCAAGACGTGGTATAAATAAAATAAAAAATTATTAATATTATGTGATACAAATATAATAATATTTATTCTCATTTTTCATTTTTCTTTTCTATTCGTTCCTTAAATTTACATTAATACTATATTTAGAAAAGTAAAAAGTTACTACTATGTAATTATTACCCTTCTGTTAAACACTTATTTATAATAAATATTATCAACTTTATTACATTCTCTCATCGTTCTCTTTAATTACTAACTAAATTCCAAAAATACTTCAACTACATTTTTAATTTTTCTATTTTTTTTAATAAATTATTCTTTTTTTTAGTCCGTGTGCTGAGCCCAAATGAGCTAATATTCACTGACTGGGGAGTATCATTTTTATTATTTTTGTCTGTTTCATATCAAAATATTCACTTTAGAAAAAATATTCATACACTAATATCAAAATAATTTTTACTTAAATTATAAATATATTATTACACATACAATTATATTATACACAAAATTAAAATGACAAAATATTGACAATTCTTACTCATTTTTACTGAGTAATAAAATATTAATAAAATTTATTAATTTATCACAAAACTCAAAGGCAGCTCAGATTTGGACTGAAGGGAGGTTTTATTAAGCTAAACTTTTCTTATTTAGTTTTTATTTTTCAAAAAATACAAATTATATCAAAATTTATTAATTTTTATTTAATTAGTTTTTTATTCTATTTTTTTTATTATACATGTAAGATGATAATTGATTAGAAATATAGATGGTATAATTTAATAGGTTAATTATAATAATTATAAATATTATTTTATTATTTTTTATATAAATTATAAATAATATTTTTATTATTTTATTTTTACTAATATATTCTTTAATTATTTATTAATTATATACTCCCTCCGTCTCGAAATTAAATATTCATTTACTTTTTACACGTAGTTTTAGAACTAATAGTATTATATTGAGATATAGTAGGAATAAAGTAGAAATGACTAAAATAACCTTATTAGTGTGTGTGATATAAAGGTAATGACATTTGTGTAATATATTGTAAGTTGTAAGGAATATTTGTAATGTTAGGTAGATAGTACAATTACTAAAAAAAAAATGAATATTTTGTTATGAGACGGACTAAAATGAAAAAATGAATACTTTGTTATGGGACTGAGGAAATATCTTTTAAATTTTTGTATCTATGGTAAAATATAGATATTTTCCTGGAAGAGAGAGACTAGCGATTGTCATTGTATTATACATACATTGTCATTTAAATTATTTTATTAATAATTTTTTAAAAAAATAATCTTACAAAAATTTTAATTTTATATTAAAAATATATATATAGAAAGAATTTGTGTCTAGCCACACAAGCATAACTTTTATAGACTTAAAAGGAATGAACATATTTGTTTTTTTATGTGTAGAGGAACCTTCGTGTAAACTAATTTGCGCACATGCTTAAAAGTTATGTGACATTGATACATACACTCTATGGTGGTATCATGCATGCATAGGCATAGCCTTTCTGACAGCCAATAATATTCAACTTTTCTTACAGTCGAAGCAACCCAATTCATGTCGCCATTATTTTTTACTATAAATATATATATATTTTTTTTTTTTTTTTTTTTTTGGGTTTCAAAGAAATTATTTTTGCAGTTTCGAAACTATAATTTTGGTTGTGTTGAGGACGAAATTTAAAGAATATTGATAATAGGTAAAAAGTATAGGTAAAAGATATTTTTGTCTTTGTAAGTGTATTAGTGTAAAATATAGTAGTAATTGTGTAATAATAATGAAAGAGTAAGGGTAGTTATACAGTTATATAGTTATTTATGGAAATTATAATATTGTTTTGGGACGATCAAAAATAGTAAATAAGACTATTGTATTGAGACAGAGAGAGTAGTTTAATTTGGTATTAAAATAATGTTTGATAAATTATTTTGTGTGAAGATTTTTTTTTTCAAAAAATATAAAATTCAAATAGTAAAATATAAAAAAAAAAATAGCAAAAGAAACACACCCATATTACTCCTATTTTATTTGTTTATTAATTATTTTTCTTTAAAATTATTATGGTTTGTTTGTTTTGTGAAAACAAACCAACACATTTTATCAAAGAAATTAATATATCAAGTAACATCGTTATTTTTATATTATCTACACAATTCTTTATACATCATATAAAAAAAAATACCTTCAAACCATTTTATGAAATAAAAAAACCCTTAGACTCTGTTTACTGGTAAGATTTTACCTCTAATTTTACCATTCTAATTTTTTTTCCCTATTAACATATCAAATCAAACACCCAATTTTTATTCATTTTATTATACTAAAATCTAATTTTACATTCAAAATATCACATCAAACAACTATTTCAATTCAACATTTTACTATTCAAAATCAAAATCCAAAACTAAAAATTTCAAAAGTAAACACACTTTACACAAAATTTCAGCTTATGTAATTTAACAAGTATGATCCAAACTCAAGTAATAAATGAGTCGATAAAATAACCCATATCCATATACATATATATAAGAAGTTGACAATAAGAATTACTTAAATAAAATAGAGTGGTTACAAATATATATATATATATATATATATGTGTGTGTGTGTGTGTGAAAATTTCAAAACAAACAACCCCAATAGAAGGTGAGTTTGGTTCTAATTTCAAATGTAATCAACATTATTTACCATGGACGTTGAATATAAATTAATACTCCGTTCGTCTCAAACATCATGCAATATTTCTTTTTTTGTTTATTTCAAACTCAATGCAAAATTTTCAAATTTAAAAATAATTAATAATATTTATATACATATATGAATATACACTTCACTTATCTCATCACATTACTCGAATAAAAAAATAATAATAATAATTATTTATCTCTCCAATCACATCACTTAATATTCAAATTATCTCAAATTACTATACTTAATATTCCCCATCTAAATTCTTGTGCCAAACATAAATGTTGCACGATGTTTGAAACGGAGGGAATATAATTTAAATATATTGATTAGACTATTCATACTAATAACAAAGATTTTTTTTTTTTAGCTCACTTGGGTGTGTTTGTTTGGGAGATTGGATTAGATTTCCACTATTCATCTAAAAATTTTTTCCCAAAAATATCAAATCAAACTCTTATTTTTTATTTTTTATATTATACTAAAAATCAATTTTACATTCAAAACATCACATCAACACCTATTTATATCACATTATACAATTATTCAAATTCAAAATTTTTACTATTCAAATCCCAACTCAAAATCCAAACCCCCAAACAAACACAACCTAAAATAACTCAGAGTTAGATATGCATATTTTTCAAGAAGTGAAATATCTTATTTTAAGTTGAGCTTTCGAAATTTCTTCCTTAGAAAATCACAAAATGTAGAACAATCAGGTCTTGTAGATTGCTACCCGCCAATATTCAAGAAGTACAGCAAGAAAAATAATCAAGGAATAAAAAAAAAAAATAATAATTCCAAAAAATTTCACCAAGAAAATACAAAAATAAAATGTATTATATGAACTATAATTATATATTGTTAGTTTATATATTCTATTTGTATTATATTAATATAAAATTTATACTTTATGTGTCACATATTGTTTGTATTTTGTACGTTGATGATAACATATTAAATAATACAGTATAATCTAGTTTCGTAATAGCAAAGGATAAAAAAAAAAGATTTTAGGGTGTGTTCAGTGATGAAATTAGCATTTAAATTTTGGGGGAGTAAAATATTATAATTTATTTAATATTTAGCTAATAAATTTAAATAAATAATAATGACGGAATTATATATGAATTTAGATAATTTTTGGGGGTAAATTGTATATAAATACATAAAAATTAATATTTTTAATATTAAAAAAATCATAAAAAATTTGGCTTGAGAATTAACCCCCAAATTCTGGTGTAGTTCGGTCCTGAGTGTGTTTAGTTTTTATGTTTGTTTGACTTAAAGAATTGAAATTTAAGAAATAAATGATTTCTTTTAAAAAAATTATTTATCTCGTCTATAGAGAAATAGAGAGAATCAGGAAAAGCATTACATTCATTTCATATGCTGTATTTTTTTAATGTTTAATTATTTTTTATAAGAATATATTATTCAATTTAACAAACTATTATATTAAATTACTATTCAAATAAGAAATTAAAATAATTTTTAAAAAAATCATCAACTAAACGCACAAATTCTCAACCGCATTTGATATTTTGTAAATGTTTAATTTTTGCTATTCTTAATAATATTAACAATAATAATAATAATAATAATAATAATATATTACTCAATTTAACTATTTACTTAAATAAAATCAAAATTGATTATCGCCGTAAAAAAAAAAAAAAAAAAAAAAACACTAAATTTCATCAGAATTTGACAATTTTCTTTAAATTTTTCAACTTTTACAATTTTTTATAAAAATATAGTATTATTCAATCAAATAAAAAATATCTCCTAAGACAACAGAGGTTTGACCCAATAATTTTACTATCATACATCCAACTCTCACGCCACAAGACCATCCCTCACCAAACAACTAAAAAGCATTTCTTGCTGATCTATTTACTAACCTACAAAAGTAAAGATCCAATACTGTCATCTTTTGAAATAAACTAGTTAGAAAGGAAAACTGACGACAATAGCTTTTCTAAACTTTATTTCAATCAAGTTACAACTTTTTAAAACTTTTATATTTATCTTTATTATTACTCCGTTCGTCTCACGTATCGTATCTGCTACACTGTAGACACGATATTTTAGAAGGAATATAATTAGTAAATAATTAAAAATATATTAGTAAAAATAATTATTCTATAATATAAATAATTATAAATTAAGACTAAAATAACTAATTAGTTTAATTAAATTTTTTTTAAAAAAAATTAAAAATTTAAAATGAAATTAAAGTGTTTAATCATTTTTCAAAAAAGAAAAATGACATGGCATGTGGGACGGACATAAATGGCAACATGGACATGGTATGTGGAACGAAAAGAGTATTATTTAATGCCATGTATGAAATTTACACGAATCTCAAGATTGTGTTTATTTTATAGTATATATTTTTTTATAAGCAAATTATTTATATTTTTTAATTAATAAATACATATTTATTTGTTATATAAAATTAAAAATATTGTTAGTATTTAAAGAAAATTTGATGATACCTTTTTTTTGTAATATTTTTTAGCCTTTATATATTAATTTGATACATTAATATAAATGTAAATAAATATAAATTTTAAAATATTTATAATATGTAATATGATCAAACTTATTAAAATAAAATATAAGAATATTTTTAAGTTTAGATCGATACAAAAGATAAAAATATATATATCTTATGAGTGAACAAAAAATTGTATCCTTTTTTCATAAATATTTTTTGGATTTTGACATTGTTTAACATTGAACAAAATATTATACTATCTTCATCCTGATTAATTTGTCTCATTTAGATTAGATACTTATTGTATAATTAGTGAGTAATTAAAAAGTTATTAGAAAAAATAATTTTGATTTAATAAAAATAATTTTAGATTAAGATTAAGATGACTAAATAGTTTAATTAAAATAAAATATATATAAATTATGAATTTTAAAATCTGATTAAAATTTATAATTATATTTTCAAATAAACGACAAATTATGTGAGACCAACGAAAATAAAAATAATAAATAAATTAAGTGGGACAGACAAAGTATTAAATAAATATTTTTTTTACAATATGTCGTATTAAATACTAATTTTTTACTATATTTAAAATTTTACTATCTAAACAAAACTTAGAGCATGTCAAACCATTATAGGATAAATTTAATCGAAACAAAATGTATATGTTTGGTTGGAATATAAAACTAAAATTATTAGTTACTCCCTACAATTACCATAAACATATATTATCATTTTTACACAAAATATTATATCAAAATATTCCAATACAATAGTCTTGTTTACCATTTTGTTCTACTCAAAACAATAATATTATTTCCATGAATAACCATATCACCATAAAACTACCCTTACTTTTTCATTTTTATTATACAATTGTCGCTGCTTTTTACACTAATGCATTTATAAGGACAAAAAAAATCATTTATTCATATTTTTACCAACTATCAATATAATATCAATATTACTTAAATTTTGTGCACAATGCTACTCGATGGAGAGAGTAAATTTTAAAACCACAACACAATATTTTTAAACAAGGTATAAAGTTCCATTTAAAAATGAATTCCTCTAGGGAGTCCCAGGACCTCAACTCCAAAGATCAACATCCGTAATCATAATGGACGAGGAGTTGAGGCCCCTGGTCCAGAAAGTATACCATCACTCACAGAGAACTGCACTCATGTGCCCTCCCATGGAGTTTGATTCCATTTCCATACCAATATATATTTATATATTTATATGTATGTCTACGAGATTTCTTCGTGATTAATCCACAAGATCAAACCATTAAAGTAATTGAATTCAGTAACCAACTGACCTCTCAATCGGTCAATCAATCATCATGAAGACCGGAAAAGGAGCGAAAATCGTGAAGCAGATAGCGTCAATGGTGAGCCGAGCAGCCAAATCCACGTTCACCGCCGTCGCAACCAAATCCGACGCCGTCAAAGCGCGAATACTCTTCAAAGCGTTCACAGTCCTGTCCAGAAGGAAGAATTTCTCAATCGAATCAACTCGCGATAAAATTAACGACGAATTAGAAATTGACAATAATTGCAACGCCAACGCCGCCGTCGTCGTTGTCTACAGAGGCGGAGATCTATCCTCCACCGTCGATAACTCCGCCGGCGCCGGCGCCGACGACGAGGATGAGAAGTATCCTGACCTGAGGCACTCGCTGTTCGACGAGGAGGAAGAAGTGCTTGAAGATCTGCTGGAGGAATCGAAGTCGTCGGCGATAGACGAGGTGAAGAATTCGAAGGAGGATCACGGCGAGAGCTTCAATTTGGAAGATGAGATCAATGAGGTTGCGGATTTGTTCATCAATAAATTCCATAACCGTATGCGTCTCCAGAAGCTTCTGTCCTTCAAGCGCTACCAGAAGATGATGGAGAGGACTGCCTGAGCTGGGGAGGTCCCGGGACTGCGACACCTAAAGTATGGTTCAATTGAATGGAGTTTCGAATGAATTATAAATATATATTTTGCTAAACAAAATAATTATGATAACAAGTTAATATTTAATGTAATTGACTATATAATTTTTTTAAAAATTATTGTTATGTTTTAAAGTATGAAATAAATCCATAAACTCATGTGATAATATTGGCAAATTATATATAACTTTTTAGCCATGAAATCTACTAAAAATATATATATATATATATAAATCTAATTATGTAGTTTTATCTCTCATTTTATTATTTATATTAACAATACTATATAACAATTTTAACTATAAATATATTATATAAAAATATAATTTTATTTTATGATAAATATTACTTGGTGGTATCATATTCTTTTTTTACTTTTTTTTGTGTTATTTTTTTCCTTGATCTCGCTATAGTGTCAAGAAAAAATAAAATGATGAGAATGATGAGAAGTGAACCGAAAAATTGATTCTTACAAATTTTTCACACAACAAAAAAATAAACTACCAAATTAAATAAAAAAAATCAGAAATTAACTATTTAAAATATATTAAAATTGAAATAGAATAGTAATAGTAAAAATGTGAAATTGACAACAATTTTGCCCCTCCCTCAATCCGCAAGTTAATTCTGTCACTGAATGATGATTTAATCTCAATGAAACATTTGTATGTGGATAGTTCAAAATTCGAGTTTTTCAGTCAATTCAAGAAAATCTCTAAACTAGTGTAAATAAATACAAATAAAGATAAATTGCATAAATTTAGATTAAAAAAACAAAAGAAACATAAAATAAAAATATAATAATAATAATAAAAATAAAAAAAGATAAAAGAAGATTGTAAAGTTGTGTTGTGGGATTCCTCTTTCAATTTTTCTACTAATTTTAACTTTTTTTTTTTAAAGTCTGATTATTACCATTTAAGTCCCATTAGGTCTTCTTATAACTCTCTTCATCAAGCTCATTCATGAGATATAATAAATCTATATACTTTCATCATAAATAATGTATTGAAATTTTTTTAGTACTCCTTTATTGCTTTCTTTTTTATTGGGTTATAATCTTTTGTATTATCTAAAGTTTTTATTGACTTATATATATATATATATATTTCTAAAAATTTTAGATCATTATTTAAACTCTCCAAATAATCCCAATTGTCTTTTTTCTAGTCTTTGTAGACTTTTTTTTCAAGTTTCTTTGGTAATTTTTTGAACAAACTCTTAGTTAGGTCTCAATTTTTGATTTTTTGGACTTTAGATTAAAATTTCTCGTCAAATGATATTTCATTGAGTTTATTTTCTCTTCAATTCCTTAGGTGAAATATTTCATTGGATTTCAAATTTGGTTCTTCGCCCTTAGCTTGAATATTTTGTTATTAAGATTACTCAATATTTCGTTATTCTCGTAAGTTTGTTATTAATATATAAGGTGTATTTCGGTTGTCGAGATTCAATTATATTTTGTGCTTTAATTAAGTTATTTATTTTTTCACTCATATTCTTCAAAATTTCTTAAAGTAAAATCATTAATTATATGGTGTGTTTGTTTGAAAGGTTTTGATAAATTTATTGTTTATATTGTCGGATGCAGAATGGTCGTCTCACCTAAAAGTTCAAATTTTTAAGAAAATGCAGTCATTAATCATATATCCGCAAACGGGAGTCTCCAACACGCCCCCTCAGGTGCAAGTGGGATCTGTGAAACTTGCACATGCATATGGGCGCAAATGGGGACAGTGGGACTAAAACACTCGAGACCTAGCCAGGCTCTGATACCATGTTTGAATATTCGCGAAAATATTAATACGAAGTATATAAATCAAAAAATATGGAGTATATAAACTATTCGACGGGCTATGCAACTCAAAAAAAAAAAAATAAAAATTATAAGGTGTGATTCATCGTGTGTGATTTTCTTCTTTGCTCGCTGCAGAATCTTCACGCAATTTCGAAAAGTGTAACCATAGTTTTCGTTTTGCAGTTGATATGGTCGACATAAAATTTCTATTTTCCGCAAATATTCAAACATATATAATTTTTTTTTTCCAAAAATATAAAATCAAAATTTTGTTTTTATTTTTTATATTATACTAAAAAACAATTTTACATTCAAAATATCATATCAATACTTATTTATATCACATCGTACAACTATTCCAATTCCAATTTGTTACTATTCGAATCTCAACCTAAAAATTAAACCCCCAAACAAACACACCCTATCACTTAAATAAATAAATATGTTATACATTCAAAATATTATATTTAATTAAACAAAGTCATATTATTTGACAGAACTTTCAACCAAAATATGAAATGACCAATATACTCTCATCAAAACATTATTGATTTGTTTAAAATTTTATTTTTCTTCAGATAAAATACTATATCAAAACATTATTTAAACTAAAAATTCAAACCAAACATTTAATTTAAAACTAACAAACCCTTAGAGTGTGTTTGATTTGTGTTTCAATTTCAAATCGACACTATTAACTACCTCTAGTTCTTAATAAAAATATATGATTTTTTCTCACAAATTATTACATCAAATTACTATTTTCTTAAAAAAAATAAAAAAAAATAAATTCAAATCAAACCAAACTAACCCCTTGTTTTGTTTATATGAAAGTTTTGAAAGTTTTAAAAAATTTAAAAATAATAAAAAAAAAAATGAATACTTGATATAATATATTCAATCCACCGTTTAAATATAGCTAATTAGGTCCAACATGCAGATAAAAATATATTTTATTAAAAAATGATAATTGAAAAAATAGTTAGAAGTATTTCTTTAAAATTTAATTAGTAATTAATGATTATAAATCGATTGAATTTCATAAAAATAGTAATAATTATAGTAAATAAGTATTAAATAGATGATAATTAACTTTATTAAAATAAATAGTGAACTAAATTTAGAGATCGAACCATAAAATGAGAATAATTTTAGAGAATAGAAGAAATAAATAGACGTTGAAGTAATATTAATATTAATTTTTTAATATAATATTTATATAATATGTAGATATTTGATGTGATATTTTTTTTTAAAAAAAAATAAATTAATATCAATTACAGTTTCAAACTTTCAAAAAAATATGTATTTCAATATTCATAATTGCAAATGTTATAGTATAAGTAGGCTAGTGTGGAATATTACTAGGACATCCCCAATATGATGTGAAAAAGGAACTACCATTCTACCAAATTTAACCTAAAAAAATAAAACACAACAAGACAAACAAATAAGTAAATGTGCCACATGCAATTATTTAATTTTGTTTAATTAAGTGCTTTAAAATTTTTAATTTTAATTTTTTTTTATGAATATTAAAAATAATAAAAATAGGGTGTTTAAAGTGATATTTTATAAAAACAATAATTTAAAATTATATTTTTTAAAAGATACTATGAATTAATAGTGTTCACGTTGTGTTTTCTAACCAATGTGTTTTTTTAGATTATGTATGAAGAATCGTATCGTAAATATAAAAATTAATATTTTATATTAAAGTATTTATTTGTTGTGATTGACCAAAATTTTTATAATATATTGTATATATGTATATATATATTATATTTTGTAATATTTATAAAATATAATACACAAACACATTAACATAATATATAGATATTTTATCCACTTCTAAAACTCAACAATTCAATATGTAATATTATTTATTTATTTTTTATTTTTAATGCAATTTTTCAAATCTAATATTATAAAAAATTCATTCATCCAAAAACACAAAGTGAGCAAACTCACTTTATGTAACAAATATAGAATATTATATTATATCCAGCCAAAAAGTGTATATTTAATTTTAGAGTAGAGTTTAAAAAATAAAAATATTTAAATTGTATTGGATAGTTAAAAATAGTGTAAAGATAATTTTACATTTGTCTTTTTGGTGTAAAAGTAATAATGTGATATAAAAATAAAAATATTTTTTAAATGATTACTTTGTAATTAAACAACCAAAAATAAAAATATATATACTTTGTGAATGAATGGAGTTAGTATTATTTTTAATAAATGTGAAAATAATAAATTTGGGTGCATTTATTTAGTATTTTCGTTTGATATATCCTTTGAACAACTACAATGGCTTTGTTTGGAAAAAGCCTTCATATACACACGTGTCCAAACTTTTATAGATTTTCGATGGTAGGTAAAATTAGAATTATGCAATAATTTCTTTTAAACACATTTAGTAAATAATATGAAACAAACGAACACACACATTAGGGTTTTCATTCCTCCGTACCTTCTTCTTTCTCGTAAGAAATTTCATCGTCTTTTCTTTCTCGTAAGAAATTATAAATCACTCGCATTGTCGCTTCATAACCTCCAATTTCTCAGGGGCAACTCTGAGCACGGCGATCTCGCTTTTTCTCCCTGCTCGCCGTTATTTTGACCTCACAAACCGGTGGATCATTCTTAGGTAAGCAATTTTCGCATTCTTATTGTTTATTAAAGCAATTTGAAGCTTGATTTTATACTTCCAATCTATGTGTGTATATATATATAGTTGTATGTATTACTATTGCATACATACACACACCATATACTTTGGTTTTTATGTAAAATTATAGTTGAATTTTGATTTGTGTTGATCAATCGGCAGGTATGAAAACAAAGTTATTAAAATTTTGTGTATGTTCAAACAATTCCTATAGTAGATGATAAATGAGATTCTATATATATATATATATATATTTTTTAGCTTTCATCAAAATGTTTCACTACAATAAATAAATTAGTATTAAAATAAGGATAAGAATTGACTTTTGAAGAAAAGTTTGATGCTAAACTTAGTGTTATAAATGTTTTGGCAGTCTGAGTTAGTCTGATCTAAAAAAGATTTTGTGTTGGTTCTGAAAAACACATGTGAGAATTGATATTGGAACTAACAACTTCTAATATTAGACAACCTTTATGTTGATAAAAAAAATATATTGGCTTGTGATATATCGACTGCTCTTGCTAATTCATTTTGTCTTTTTGGCATTGTGGACTTGCTTAAGTTTTTTTTTATTTTTCTATATTTTTTTTTAAGTTGTTACATTCCTAAGATTGAATACAACTTCTCAATCAATTGACGAAGCAAGTTCTCCAAATGCGAATATGGCCGAAACAA